AATTGAACTTGAAATGCTGAAACCTTGACTCTATACATCAGAGCGGATTAGTCGGAGGCGAAGAAGTTGCACGGGCTCGCATAAATCCTATTAATTTGTCAGAAGATCGGTAATTTAATAGAAATACACAATTTACTGTCTAGTTATATCTTAAAAGTTCTAGGTCTATGTCTTCAATATCCATAAAATTTAGTTAGCTTAAAAGTCTATATGTGCACCGGTTTGGCAAAGTATTATTAGCAATAGGAGATTTTCAATGCGATATAAAAAGATGACACACTGTTATTTCATATGTAGAATATTATTGTAAATGTCAATAATCATTATTTCCAAACCAACTAAACGCCTTTTTTCAATCATACGAAATACTCAGTACCTATAAAAGAATTTTAATTTTTCTTGGTTTATTCTATGTTTAACACGAATAACTTTTCAATACATAAAGGCGGATTTTTCATCCAAAAATATTTCCGTCAAACGTATTACAGATATTACACATTTTAATATGGCAACACTGTCGCTTTCAGTTCCACACCGTCTTCGATATACCTTTGCTGGTCGAATTAGAGAAAATAAGTTATTTATGCGTTGGTCGCAGAACGATTGGTGGCTTCACCGTACAGCACTTGAGACGTAAGGGGATATCAAATCAGCCGTGTCACGAATTCAGCCATTATATTGCGTATCTTCCCAATTCTTTCAATAAACGCTACAATGTAAAACTTGGGAACTTGATTCGTAATAATTGCTGCAGTAATAAATAAATATTTTTTTTCTCTAAGGTATATACAGGGTGAGTTTCCTACGATGTTTTCTATGGGTATCTCGGAAACTACTGAGGATAGAGAGTCAGTTAAATGGGGAAAGAATTGCAGTTTTGTGGGGTAATAAATATGCGCCTTTCGGATTTTTGAAAAAGTTCATGGCTTACTAGATATCTCGAAAAAAATAAATTATGCCAATTTTAAAACTTGTCCCTAATTCCATTATAATCTATTTTAGACAAAAAGTTTTCAGATAAAAGTTGTAGATAATGACATATCTAATGAGTATATTCGTATTGAGTTTTCTGATTTTTTCTAAAGCCTGTCATTTTTGACATATGACACAAATATAATTTTTTTTTAATGGAAACCATAGTTGGCCATGACTTCATAAAAATCGCCATTTTTTAAGCTTTTCAGCGATATAAGGTATAGTATGTTTATTTCGAAAAATTACTAAGTTATAGCCAATTCTTATCTTTTTTGACTAATTTCACTTGGTATGGTATTTTTATTCTGTTATGATTTATAACTTATAAAAAGACAGAATATATTATTAAATGGTTCTTTACAATTTACATACGCAAACTAAGACTTAAAAAGATAATATCACTACCCCATACACTTTAATTTATTTTAGAAAATATTCTCCCGTGTCTCTCTCTTCGAGTGCCTCTCTTAATTCATCGAAGTGGCCCATGCAATTGGTCCACCTCTTCCGATCCCTGAGTTTTAGTTTAGTCTTTTACTATGGAAGGTGTCATAATGAAAGTCCAGGTTGGAATCACTCTATTGATGCGCGACTATCTAACTTTAACTTTTCTAACATGTCTTGAAAACCGTTCTCTAAAAAACGTAAGTAACGTTCAGGGTCAACGTATCCTCGAAAATGTATGGCCAAGAAAAGTTGAACCAATAATCCTACACGCTCTTCTACATTTAAAAAATCATATTTATAATTTTTTTTATTTTAATTGAATGTGACAGTTTTGCATTTCTGAAGGCAACGACGATTGAACTTGCTTTCATAGCTAACTAAGTGAAATTTTTTAAGATGATAAGAATTGGCTATAACTCTAATTGGCTATAATTTTTCGAAAAAACATATTATAGCTTATATCGCTGAAAAGCTTAAAAAATGGCGCTTTTTATGATGTCATGGCCAACTATGGTTTATATTTAAAAAAATATATGTTTGTGTCATATATGTCAAAAATGACAGGCTTTAGAAAAAATCAGAAAACACAAACTCATTAGGTATGTGATTATCTACATTTGTCTAAAATAGATTATAATGAAATTAGGGACAATTTTTAAAATAGCCAAATTTTGTTTTTTTTTCGAAATATCTAGTCAGCCATAAAGTTTTTCAAAAATCTGAAAAGCGAATATTTATGACCTCACAAAACTGCAATTCTTTCCCCATTTAACCGACTCTCTATCTCCAGTAGTTTCCGAGATACCCATAGAAAACATCGTAGAAAACTCACCCTGTATAGAGTCACTATATTATTAATGAAATATATCATGTGTCCTTGAGTTTATAACCTAATTATCAAACTGTAATATATTTTAATTAACTCCTCTAATAGCATTACGCAGTTATAGATTTAATTGTATAACGTGTGTATCGTGTACAAAAGCATTATGAAGCAATGTGTGATAAATGCAGCGAAATACAATTAACGAACATAAATTTTACAAATTAAAATTAATATACTACTACTATTACAATAGCATATTTAATTAGTGTCGTTATGATCACGTAGCGTAAACTTTCTAATTAGTTATTGAAACAATAAACATACGTCATACCTTGGACAGAAGTGACGTTAAAGTAAACACATTTCCTCATAACTACTGGATTAATTAGAACTCTCTCTGCAATTAAAACGTCATAAGCATGTGACTTCAAATTTACAGATTATTTTTTTAGCAAACTGGATAAAAAAAGGCTTATTAGTTTTTCTACAATTTTAGGATTAATTAATATCAGGAAATAAAAATAATTTATCCAACAGTCACTACTTATACAGACATGTATACATGATTATAAAATTAATAATATCTAACACACGCGTGAGTTTTTGAAGTTATAACACAACTTCAAAGCCACACCATTTTATAGAAATTATTAAGCTTTATTCATAAATTTACCGCCTCTCTCTGGTTAATAATTTCTTGCGGAAGATCTTCCGGAATCATTTTTCTTTAAAATCCGACTTGCTGGTTGATAATTCATTATTTTATCGTTTAAAAAATCGCGATTTATCTAAATTAGCCCTAAGAAAATTATCTTCAAATTATCTGTTAGCTGTTATAATTAAAAATTTAAGAACTTTGTTTAAGTGCCAACCTAAAGTATGTATGATGATGTATTTCATGAAAATATTTTATCTGCTACAGAGTGGATCTACAAAAGTGGTGGAATCTACAAAAGTGGTGGAATCTACAAAAGTGACTACAGAGTGGCTCAAAAAAGTGCGAGTGGATCTAAATGTTTTTTTTAATGGAACACCCTGTATATTATTGCATTTGGCTTCCTTTCTGATTGCTTTAGAGAATCCTAGAATATTATTAAATATATCTTGATTGTTTTAAAGATAATAATAAATAAATAATAAAATATTTTGTGAACCTTTTTAAAAAAAATATTTAAAATATAATGTCCTGAAATCAAAACTGTAAGTATTTACTATAGTTGGTCTGTACTTAACTTTGCTATTAATTTAGTAATCTTAAACCTTACAGGGTGTTCAAAATTCTATGTTCTATTCTATGTATGTTTCCTAACTTTCTAAAATATAAAATAGTTTTTCTTCGTTTTCGAACACACTGTATATTATTCGTTTGTTAGATGTAGAATTAAAAAATAAACATTTCTTGTATTCAAAGTATTTTAAAATTTTTAGCGGTTTCGCAAATATTCGCGTGTTTATTACATAAATATAAATATTTTTATACATATAATTTTACCTTTTCATAAGAACGCCATCCAGTTCAGCCAAAGTTTAGCTAAAGTGTCAAACGATCAAACTGCACCTTAACCTTAACAATTGTACAATAAGATTGACAAAAAAACGGCGTCAGCAATGGCTATGAAATGAAGATCGCTGTCATATTATATGTAAAATTATATGGGGAATGTCATCGATATTCAATACCAAGCCAACCGAACGCCGTTTTTTAGATCATACGGTATAACCTAATAAGATTTGTCTCACTAAATATAAGAGCTATTATAGTATTGTTTCCGAGAACTATTCTAAATTGAATGATTTTTTTTTATAAAAAAAATATTTTTGCAAAAAAAAATCCTATATGGGTATTTCGCCACAGCAAGGAAATCAACAAAATAAAATAGTTATTTTTTGTAAACACTGCTGCGTAATCCAACGGAAACATAAAACGGACAAAAAAATACTTAACGTTTCGGAAAGTTTTTCTCTTTCCGTCGTCGGAAGCAAAAAAAAATACAAAGAATAAAGAAATAAAACTATTTAAAATCTTTTAATTCAACTATTCTAGAACACTTTAGTTTTTTAAAACAGATACGTCTACAAAAACCGTTGACGTTCTGTTAAAATGATATTATATCAAGTTAAACTTCAAAATTAACAATTACTACCTGATAACAATAATTACTTAATAAGGTAAAACAAAAAAAAATAATAAAAAAAATGAATAAAAAAAATAAATAAAAAAATTAAATACCTAATATAGTTTTGATTTCAGGACAGGTCCTGTATTTTAATATTTTTTTAGGAAAGCCTGAAAAATATATATTTTCTATTTTTTTATAAATATCTCTGAAACTATCGAAATATATATTTACTCATATCTTAGGATTATGTAAAGTGGTCTCAAAGGAAGCTAGAAATTCAATGATCTACAGGGTGCCTCTTTTAAAGAAAATTATCCCGATCTACTCATACTTTTTTGAGCCACCCTGTAGAAGTGAAAATATTTTTCTGAAATACATCCTAGATCATACTATAGGTTTGCACTTAAACAAAATTCCCAAGTGTTTTATTGTAGTATTAAAGTATTGTTTCCGAGAATTACTTATTACTGAATGATTTTATAAAAAAAACATTTTGTTTAAATATTTCATTTGCCACAACTTATTCAAAACCAACCCTGTATTAGGTGTATAATAATTACATTAATAGATCATATTTATTATTTTCATATTTTTTTCATATTTCAGGGTAAACAATAAATGTTTTGTTCCAGTGATGGGATCGGAACAGCTCGCCTTGACCGTTATTTGCGTCATCCTGATAGCTTTGTTGGTTTTTTTCGCCTTCTATCATTCCTTCAGCATCATCAACTGGATAAATGCATGGATAACCTCGAACAAAGAAGAAAAAGTCGGTTTGACTCGACTGAAAGGACATTATAATGCAAATGGATATTTGGTAAGTTTATAACTAAACAATTTTTTAAATTTTATAATGTATGAACATAATATAATATGTATGGTGTTGTTTCTATTTGAATATAGCCCAATAAGATTCAGACTTTTTTTATAGAATGTATTAGAATGTAGAATGTTTAGGAGGGGAGTTAATCACCGCGACCTTATGTGTGTGTTCCCCTTTCTTGAGTTATAACAAGTTATAACTCATCATACAGTCTCAGGGCTTTAAGAAAAGCCAGTATCTGAGACGGCTCCACAGAGGCCAGCTCTCCATCCTCGACATCAGACGTACCAAGGTTCATGGCACGAATGGTCGTCGTCTCGGCGCACTCAGTGATAAGATGTTCTGGTGTTTCCCCATTTTCCCCACAAAATCTGCATTCGTCGTTGTTTCTCAGTTTCAGCCTACTGAGGTGTTCGTTGAGGAGACAGTGTTCTGTTAGAAACCCCGAGACAATCCGTAGATTGTTTTTACTTAAATCAAGGAAAACCTTTGATTTTTCTCGGTCATAAGTTCTAAGGAACTTTTTCGAGTGTCTTATACAGTTGGAGGACACCCATTCCAAGTTACGGATGGAGTCTTCCAGATTCTTCAGTTCCGCTTTCAGTTGGTTCCCGTTTGGAAAACAGAACGGTTCTGGTCCAGTTAGTGTAGTGTTCGGTCCTTTTCTAGCTAGATCATTTGCTTTTTCATTGCCTTCTATCCCTTGGTGAGCAGGCACCCAGAGTAGGAGGACTTTATTTTCTTTGCCTAATTTGTTGAGCTTCTCTAGGCATTCTTTGACCAACATCGAATTGATGGTTACTGAGTTGATCGCGTTAAGTGCTGCTTGACTATCGGATAGGATGGCAATTTCCTGTTTTCGATAGTTCCTATCTAAGATAAATTGTACGCATCTTTCGATAGCGCAAATTTCAGCCTGAAGGATACTGGGGTAGGTGCCCATTGGTTCGGAGTATTCAGTTTTCGGCCCAAATACTCCTATCCCTGTCCCTGCTTTGGTTTTGGAGGCATCAGTATACCACGTAATGGTATGGTCTTTTATATGCTGAGTAAGCGTTTCTTTCTTCCAATCCTTTTTATTACTCAATACTACAGTGAGGTGTTTCTCAAAGTTGTAAATTATTGGTATGTCATCCACTGGGAGTTGGAGAAGTGGAATTTTCTTTTTGAGGGTGTTCCAAGCCCCTGACCTGAAAATTCTCCCAGTACTGTTTCCGTCAATGACCATTCTAATCATTGTCGCATTGGCATAACTACCGACGACAATATGCAGTGGTGTTAGGTCTAGAGTGACCTCCATTGCTGCTGTTGGACATGTTCTCATGGCACCTGTGATTTATGCAGATACATGCCAGTCTCTGTACTTTGCACAGGTTTTGCCTTGCTGTACGTTGCTCTAGTTTTGTATACCAAGCAACTGCTCCATAAGTAATCATGGGTCTTACTATCATGATATACATCCAGCGCAAAATGTTAGGGGCGCAGCCCCACCTATTTCCCGCCAGTCTTCTGCATATCATGAGAGCTTTTGTGGCTTTGCTGGTAAGGTATTAAGGTATTTGCAGGTAGAATGTATTAACAATAATCGTACGACGCGGAGGATTCAAAGAAACTGTAGTTTATATTGAAATTAAAGTTTTGGGAGCATACGTAGTAATCTAAGAGCTAACAACATTTTCGGGAAAGTATTTTAAGAAAGCTGGATCTTTGGTATATCTTTTACTATGCATGAACAGCATGCGGCCCCGTCTGGCTCCCGATACCCGTTGCGTTCACTACTGCGCATCGGAAGAAGATCCTATATTTTTTTTTAATTTAGTCCTATAAATTCTAGTATTGAATATAAATCGAGCATGTCTCCATAGCGCAGTGCGTAGTTTCCGACTACGAACCGAGGATTCAGAGTTCGAATCCGGGTCAGGGCAAAGACTTCTTTATTTTATTTTCGTTTATATTCTGATAATAAAGTATTAAATAATTTTAGTGATTCAAAATAAAAACAAATATTTAATATTTTACTATCAGAATATAGACGAAAATAAAATAAAAAAGTTTTTGCCCTGACCCGGATTCGAACTCTGATAACTCGCTTGATATGCGGAACCTCTACGCACTGAGCTATGGAGACTTGGTCGGTTTATATTCAATACTAGAATTTAAAGGACTAATAAAAATATCGGATCTTCTTTCAATGCGCAGTAGGAAACGCAATGTTCTAGAGAGCATAGTAAAAGATATATCAAAGAGCCAGACGAAATTTATGATTAGTTTAAAAAAATAAAAGTTCCTAAATTTCTCATTTCAGTCAAATAACTATCTACTCAACATGTTTATTTTTAGTCAATAATGACATGTATTGACTATTTCCATTGTAAATATCTTAAGAATGCTTGCTATTTTTTACGTAGAAAATCACGGAAATGTATATTTTTTCACTCAGCAGTTTTATACAGGTACGGACAAAAAGTTATTACTCTTCAAAACAGTTAAAACACATGTAAGTGGCGCCCCCTACAAATAGGAGTCATTTTGACATAAAAATCAAATTTCTCAAGTAAAAAAATTCCCAGACACCAATTTTCATCCAAATATTGATGTTACTTCAGAAATTATTTGGAAAAAATCGAAATAAAAATGAAACTTCTACACCCTGTATCTCCGAAACTAAGCATTTTAGGACATACATTTATATGATTTTTTTTACTTATTTTTATCAGTATAATATGCTGCCGAAGTTTTCGGAATACAGTTCGGACCACCCTGTATAGACTTGACCCAAGCTTGACCCGAAAAGTTATACAGGGCGAGAGAAAATTAATATTGAACATTGGTCACCTTTCTGATATATATTATACAAGCTCGCTGATATGTATGGAAACGGTGTTTCAGAACAATTTCCGAATTATGAAGTTTTGGTTTTGAAATGTTTAACGAAAATTTTGTAATTTCCAGACTTAATATAATCTCATTTTATACATCTATAAATGCTAACTTGAAAACTAATGTCAAATATTATTAAGTATCACGGTTTCCGCAGAATAGCATCGTTAAATGAAACCAAACACATCGAAATTAATTAAATCGAATTGTTTACATAATATTTTCAAAAGTTAATAACTCGGAAATGGTTGATTTGAGGTACATTGCGTGTACCTCGATTTTTGCTTAGAGATGAAGGAAGAACCGAAATATGGCAAGAATATACAGGGGGTTCTATTTAAAAAAATGAAACTTTGATGTGCCACGACTTTATGACCAACGCTGTATACTTAAATTTATTACCCGCTAATAGATATCTAAAAACCCTATAACTTTTATATTTAACTTTTTGCGGTACCTCTTATATTTTACTTAGAAATCGACTGATCCCATACATATCAGCGACCCTGTATATGTCTCTTTAAAATTCTATTAAGGTTGCCTATCCCTGAACTAACAAAAACTTGTACAGTATGTAAAAAAACAGGAAAAAAAGATTGTTATAACAATCATATCATATGCCCTTTTTCTCTATGTCAGAAACTTCCTAAGTCGTTGTACAGACTTAGGAAGATTAAAAATGAGCCAAAAAATCGCAAAAAATGCGTAAAACACATATTTGAAATAGAAAACAAAACATGGAACTTTTTCAGATTACTGGTTCACTCTTAATATATAGTTTACTAACAATAACGCTACAAAAATATTTTTTTAATAAATGGCAACAAATTTTGTAATTAATCTGAAATATGTACTGGTTTATAAAACTTTTTACTAAATTGCTGCAAATATACAATTTCTCTAATAGAATATTTGTAAATATGTTCGAAAATAATACGAAATGTAAATGGAATAAAGCTTTTAAAAGTATATTGAAGTTGTATGCCCAAACATAACATACTTTTGAAATCATATATATCTGGAAAAACAAAGCTCTAAATATTATTAAATATTATATTCTATATTTTTAGGCAACCCCAATATAGCGCATAATACTTTTTGCAAAAAAATTAGGAAAATGTATATTGAGAATTATTTTCCAATGCCTAAGCCGATTAAAATAAATAGCCTGAATATGCAAGTTGTTGTAAAATGTCTACGCTTGAAAGGGCGATTTATTACTGAGAAATCGATTCGAAAACTTCGAGCAACCTGTTATAGTACGAGAGCTAGCAACGTATGAAAAACAAGTATTTTAAGACGTAAAGACGTCTTTGATATATCTTTTACTATGCTCCCTAGAACAGCATGCGACCCGTCTGGCTGCCGGTAAACGTTGCGTTCCCTACTGCGCATTGAAAGAAAATACTATATTTTTATTAGTCCTTTAAATTCTAGTATTGAATATAAAACGAACATATCTCCATAGCGCAGATCGTAGAGTTTCCGCTGTTTCCGAACCGATGATTCAGAGTTCGAATCCAGGTCAGGGCACAGGCTTTTTTATTTTATTTTCGTTTATATTCTGATAGTAAAGTATTAAATATTTGTTTTTTTGAATCACCAGAATTATTCAATACTTTATTATCAGAATATAAACGAAAATAAAATAAAAAAGTTTTTGCCCTGACCCGGATTCGAACTGTGAATCCTCGGTTCGTAGTCGGAAACTACGCACTGCGCTATGGAGACATGCTCGATTTATATTCAATACTAGAATTTATAGGACTAAATTAAAAAAAAATATAGGATCTTCTTCCGATGCGCAGTACTGAACGCAACGGGTATCGGCAGCCAGACGGGGCCGCATGCTGTTCTAGAGAGCATAGTAAAAGATATATCAAAGAGCCAGCTTTTCATCGATCGGTTCCTGGTCGGAAACTCTACGCACTGCGCTATGGAGTCATGTTCGATTTATATTCAATACTAGAATTTATAGGACTAAATTAATAAAAAATATAGGATATTCTTCCTATGCGTAGTAGTGAACGTAACGGGTATCGGCAGCCAGACGGGCCGCATGCTGTTCCAGAGAGCATAGTAAAAGATATATCAAAGAGCCGGACGTCTTAAAATACTTTCTCGAAAACGTTGCTAGCTCTTAGACTATTACGGGAACTTCGATAAACATATAGTTGCCTTAGCTATTTATTCGTATTGGTAGAACTTCTTTGAAAATCCCTTTTAACTGATTATTTTATATTCTTCTCGTCTAAGGAAACAAGTATTTTAGATTTCTTGTTTACTGATTCTCCTAAGAAGATATATATGTATATAAAAGACGTTTTGTATCTCATTATTCCATGTAGGTATTCTATTAAATATTATTCGTTATTCTAATGTTATCGGTTTTTTGTCCTCAGTTCCTCAGTTCTTAGTGATCTTCGGCAATTTAAGAGTTCATTTCAGTAGTCCGAAAAAGTAGCAAAATAAGCGTTCGGCATTTAACGTTTTATGTAAAAGTGACTAAGTATTTTTACATAAATGAAGAAGGAACTTAAAGATACAGAATTATATTATATCCGTATTGTAGCACATTTTTAGGCAACTTCTTTATTTTTAAGATTTTAAAGGTCAAACATCAACAAAATATTCCTTATCTTTGAACTACATTTTCTGGAATATAAAGACATAATTTAAAATGCCGTTACAATACGGTAATAGATTGAAGTTTTGTGATTAGAGTGATATATAATTTATATGGTTTTGTAACAAATTGCTCGCTATTTTAGGGTAAATGCTGAAGCTCTGCAAACCTTAATCAAGCTTGAATCAAAGTACGTGTGTTTGGAATTTTGGGTATGGCTTAACACGACAGGATAAAATGGATTTTTTTTAATTTTATCTAGTGAACCCATTCGAAAGTTTTAGTCTAGTATTTAGACTTACAAATTGTCATTTAATGTCACCACATACATACGAAATAATAAGGAACCCACTGGCACTGGAAAAATAAGTACAAAAAAAATCACTGTTACTCTACAATACTCTTTACTCTTAATAATAAAAAATAACGTAAAATATAAAATTTTAAATGTTAATTACAAATTTACAACAATAAACTCAACCACAATTAAGAAAATTAGTATTAAATAAAAATGATCTGCAATAGTTAATAATATTTAAAAATAATAATGGCTTGAACAATCCTCATTTACTTCAGTTTTCAGTAGTCACAATAAAATATTGGTGATAAATAAGTAAATTTGGTTTTTGAATAGTTTTAAAAGACAGCAAAAACAATTATTAAAGTACATAAAAAATATTAATACAAATATCTAAGTATCACTACAAAACAAAAAATAAATAAAATATAAATAAGTATATAAAAATAAGTTTGCAATAGTTTGCAAATAGTAACAATAAACTTGCTCAAAATAATTCTACTGACAGAAGTATAATCAATTTTCTTTAATCCAGCTATTAATAATATTTTTTTCCTTGATATTTTTATACTCATTTATGATTTGGAATTGCTCACTCCACCTTATGCTCACTCCACCTGCTGGTCTACCACAAGTAAATAAAAAAATTAAGAAAACAGCTACAAATCACCAGTGAAACAGCTACAAATTTATTTTAACTGTAGAACTCCCCTGAGCTTCTTTATTGTATTTTTAACTCTACAAACTGATGGAGAATTATAATATTTCTCGATTGCTATTTTAACCTTTCCATTCTCGGCGAGTTTTGACCTAGTCTGTTTGTTCTGGTTCATTCTGTTTGCTTTATAGCTTCAAGCATTTTACTCAATTACTATATTAACCTTTATAATTCTCAGATATGTATCATATTCTGCCGTCGGCAGTTAAAAGGCGGCAAGTGACAAAACCATAGTTTTGAGAAAAATGGCAAAAACTTTGTGATTTTGTCCTTCGCTAATAAGAATATATACATTCGATTTTATTGTTCAACACTAATTGGATATACTATATTTAGTTATTAATAGGTATTTTTAGACAATAGAGCAAGTTTTGTTTAAACAAATGTTGGTTAATTCTTTCTTGCTTTATTTTCTGTATTGAATACAGTAAGAAGCTGAAGTTAAAAGGCGGTAAGCGACAAAAAACTGTTCAAATGCCGCCTTTTAACTGCAAAACCTTTGACGTGCCGCTATTTAGAATCAAGTAAAATATGTTAAGGTTTTAACTTAAAAAAGATAAGTTTTAAGTAGCATCTATTTATTAAACACAATTTATTTTTCAAATTAATAGTGATCTTGCAAATTTTAAGTAGTTTTATGAAAACAGTTATATAGTAAAAGGAATAATTTTAGGTATAACAGGGTGGTCCATAATGGATTGTTCTGTATACATTCTCATGCATTTTTTGTTTGCTTTCGGTCATTTTATAAACTAGAGAGTTGTTTTTGTTGTTTTACTTAGAGATATAACAAAAATGGTTAATTGAGAAGTGTCACCTCAAAAATTTTTGCATCCGGCGCAAGTTTGGTGTCTGCTTTTTTTTTGTTTTAAGCAAGAGGATACGCCGATACTCTTCTACGATACGATCCCAAAAACCTCTAAAACCCAAAAATAAATTTACACTTCTGATCGATATACTATAGTATCCAAATTAAAAAAATAATAGCAAGGTTTTCATTTTTATAATATATATATATTTTCCTGGCTCTAAATTAAGCTTAAAATTAAAAGAAAATTGAATGGATGAGTGAAAAATCTTTTCTTCAATAAATACAATAAATAATTTATTTATTGCCAATTAATTCGAAATATGAATATGAAACAATTAAACATTAAGATAACTCATAAATATATTTGTAAATATACTGATGTACCATTTAAAAGAAAAACTTATGGAGGCACTATAATAGTACTTATTTAATTAATGATACTTAATTTAATTAATAATACTTAATTATTGATAAATTTTACTAATTCTAACTATTATATATTTTTTTTAATTTCAGGGGTGAAATTTATATTTTGTTTACACGTGACACCAAAATTAGCTACAAATCCATCATATAAATATGTATTGAATAATAAATAATATATAATAATCTAAAATACTTATAAAAATAGTTTAAAAGCTTACCTTTGCAAAAAAGCCACAATCGATATTATTATATTAAATTATTATTAATCACTTTATATAAGCCGAAAAATGCGATGCGTGCCTGGATTCGCAATCGACTAATTCATCTCTCGCGAAATATACCGCCTTCTTACTACCAAATTTACGTCCGCGTCAAAGTCTGCGTGGTGATTTTGACCCTTAAAAAGGGCGCAATAGTCACATACCGCTTTTTTACTACAAGTTTCGTAACGTAATTCACGATCTTATTTAACGAATAGGGTGGTTTAAACAATGCCGCCTTATAACTTCAAGTTTTATGACGTATTTGATATCCATCTTTTAGGAATAGAACAATTACTGTCTAATGCCGCCTTTTTACTACATAATATGCATCATTACGTCATCATTTTTTAAATATAAATGGAATATTATTTGCAAGAATGCCGCCTTTTAACTTAAATATTTACACTTGCCGCCTTTTTACTTCCAAAATGGTGACGTTATGTCACTTGTCGCTTTTTTCAAATTTCAAAAATCGTAGAAAAAAAATATTTTTCAAAAATATTTTTGAATATTTATATAGAGTAGGGTCACATTAGTCTAAAAATGCAAAAATCTCAAAATTGAAAAAAATTCACTTGCCGCCTTTTAACTGCCAACGGCAGTATTGTCAAGAACCAAAAATTAAATCCCCTAGTTGGGATTATATTAATATGGGAAAAATTAGTTAATATACATATGATTGTAGCCAAATTAATATAAGTCTAACGTTTGGTTTAAATAATTTACTACTTTTTTATTGTATTTTTAACTCTACAAACTGATGTAGAATTATAATATTTCTGGGTTGCTATTTTAACCCTTCCATTCTCGGCGAGTTTTGACCTAGTCTGTTTGTTCTGGTTCATTCTGGTTGCTTTATAGCTTCAAGCATTTTACTCAATTACTATATTAACCTTTATAATTCTCAGATATGTATCATATTGTCAAGAACTAAAAATGAAATCCTCTAGTTGGGATTATTTATTATATATACGGGAAAAATTAGTTAATATACAAGGTGAGTTTTGCAAAGTGCAAATATTTTTAGGGGCAGTATATTTCGACCTCAGAAATATGATTATGAGGTTTTTTCGCGAATAAAATTGTTTGAAAAAATTTTTGGAATTTTTTTTAGTTTTTAGTTAAAAACATGATTTATTGATAATATAGCAACATAGGTAGTAGATTAAATTTACAAGAAAGAAAACCCAGAAAAGATCCAGTCGATCTCAAAACTACAAATAAAAAAGCAAAAAAAAAACATTTTTTTTGGGGAATTTTGGGCTTACTGGAAAAACGGTTAAGACGAAATATGTTTCTCTTAAAGAAATCTACCAATCCTGAAAATATTTGCACTTATTTACGACTCACCCTGTATAATTTTAGTTAGCCAAATTAATATAAGTCTAACCTTTGGTTTAAATAATTTACTTTTCTTTTCTCAGGTGCAGTCTGATTCTGATATCCAATTGGACTGGACCAGCGGTAGCTTTAAACGATTTGACTCTGTGGATAGAGACTTTCGCATATCTATAGCTACAACAAGTTTGACCGATTGGCAGGTCAGTTCCGAGGAAAATGACTTTATTCCACCACAACCCCTTCGACCTGCCCCTGTACCTACCAGCATAACGCTGCCTTCAGTCAGTATAGAAAAAAAAGACGAATTAGTTGAGGAGGAAAAGGATCAGAACAAGACAACAACCACCAAAACCAGCAGGTAATTATTACTTATTTTATGTTTGGTTATCATAATCTTATTGTACGTGATTAACATTTCTTTTTTATTTATTTCAAGACATCTCATATAATATTTAAAGTACTAAATTAACAATACACGATAAGTCTTAAATAAGTGCAAATATTTTTAGGAATAGTATACATATTTCGACTTCAGAAACTCGTCTTTGAGTTTTTTTTTCGCGAAAAACAATTTTGAAATTTTTGATTTTTTTTAAATTGATTTTTTTAATTTTTAGTTAAAAATCATAATATCTTGATAATATGACAACATAGGTTATAGATGTTACTAGTAAGTGTAACAAGAAAGAAAACCCAGAAAAGAGTGGTCCATTGGTTCTGAAAATTGTAGCAAAAAATTGATTTTTTTTTATTTTAAAGTATAGTAACTCGGTTATTTTAGACTTATTTGAAAAACGGTAAAGAGAAAATATGCTTCTTTTATCAAGATCTACCAATCCTGAAAATATTTGCACTTATTTCTGACTCACCATGTATGAGAAGGTTGCAATAAGTAATCAAAACTTAATTTATTGCAAAAAATGTCTATACCTATGAAGAAGAAGAAGTGTTTACAAAAAATAACAATTTTATTTTGTAGATTTTTCTTGCAGTGCAGTGTCGAAAAACCCATAAGAATTTTTTTTTTGGATTAATTTATTGCTTCGAACAATGCGCACCTCTATTATAAATCAGCCAATTATTTGCTTTTCTATAGAACCCATAATTAAAAATCAACAAAGGATCACTCTAATGAATGAAATCTATAGCTTATTTCTTTTTTCCAATTAAAACATGAAAAAAATGCCTTGGGCCTTTTAAAATCATAAAATCAACGTCGCGTTAATATATGAACGACCTACATCAAAGCTTTTTGTTTTATTAAAAGTTTCCAACAAAAACAAAAATATGACTTTTATGAAGGGGTTATTAAAGTGGCATATTCAGCTTAATGACCTTTTTTTGATAATTTTTTTTGGTAAAAGAATGTAGAACATAATAAATCACTAATATATTTTGTTTTAGTGGACCGATTGTTATAACTTTTTAAGCAATATTTAGCTAAATTGTTTGACATTTTAGTATCTCTCTCTAAATTAGAAATGAATGTTTACATCATCTGTCAATTATACGAAGGAAAACAAAATATTGAAAGTTTGGAACACCCTGTGTGATATTTTAAGACAGCAAGGAATTTAAAAATCATTTTTTGATCTAGGTACATCCTTTCTCGATAGTTTTTTTGTTGGTTCATCTCAATAGCTTTATTTTTGTTGGAGATATTCGATTTGAAGAAGAGACTAACATTTTTTCGTAATTTTTACATTAGCTACATATTCCTTAAAAAATCATCAAAATCGGCCCACTAAAACAAATATATTAAACTTTAAAATACGACAAAATTTTAAAGTGTCCGTAAATTTTATATTTTTGTTAGTAATCTAAATGCATTGAACTGTAACTAAAATAAATATAATTTTTTTTACCAGAAAAGGGATACTTTTTTTCAAATGCTCGAGAACTAGTTATTCACATATTTTCGTAACATTTTTAAGCAGACAAGTCACGAAAAGTAACCCCACTTGAAAAATATCTTTTGTGCATCTTATCAGACTGTGTGTATAAAACATCTGGATTATATCACGTTTTACCACTCCAAATATAGTACGTTTCCACCTTTTTTTACTTTATTTTTAACGAAACGGTTTTCTTGCTTTTTTCAATCGCATACTTAAGATATTAAAAATATGAAGAATTACTCATTATGAAGAATTAAATTATTTTCGTGCAAGCCTCAGGAATATTGATGAAAAAGCAAAGGAAACTAATGCTTTACATTCAGAAAAAATGTTCGCTCATCAACCAATTCATAAGAAATGTTTAATTAGTGTATCCTTCAAGTTGAAAAACTTAAATCTATTTTTAAACATATTATATAATATTTAGTTCATTTCATATTCTAATAAAAGTTATTTTATATTTTCAGAGGTCTTGTTATTGAATCCACGACAATATCGCCAATCCCCAGACCAGTCAGCTCTGTAAATGTGGCAACGTTGGCTTCCCAGTCTTCGTTTCCTGTCAACTTAGATCCTCCACCCCCTTCGCCATCTCGCAACGTTTCAAGGACTCAAAGCGCCCCCTTGAAGCTCTCATCGGCAGCTACTCAGCAGCAAATATCCGAAATAAAAGGTAAAAAATTTAAGCACTTGTTGATTAAAAAGAGTATACCATTAATATTGCAAAGTATATTTTATCCACTCATAGTATAGGTCTATTTAATTTTTTGATTATGTAATGGGCATTTTGTTTACTCACTTGTTTCGTCGAGCTGCTTGAGTCCATTTTTACTTTTGATCAAATCGGTGTGAGAAGTTTTGAAACTATAAAATGTTGTTTTGGGAGAGTTGAATATCCGGGAAAGTTGAATTATTGAATGTTATTGCACCTAACAACCACGTAATTACGCCCTTCTTTATGTGTTAACATTTTTTCGACAATTTTATTAACATTGAAATTGTCACAACACAAAGCGACGCCCAGTTCGGGTTCCTTTTCACTTAATTTTTCTTACCCTAAACAGCGTTACATCACAAACAATATATAGTATGTCCACACTAAAACTGTCCTATAATGCACTTAATACATGGAAAACAATATAAAATTATGTATTTGTAAACAAACTGAAATCTACTGGGTATAACATATGGAGTGTAGAGATGAGGAGAAATATATCTTATGTGACTTTATTTGAAAAAGTGGTCACAAAGATGGGAAGAATAAGAGTTCACCAAATGACCACAGTGGCGCTAATGACGCATAAATCTAAAAAATGAAAAGTAACCGTAGATAAGAAAATAAAAGTAACATTCAAACATTACCCAAAAAGCTTTGTTTTTATTTTTTAGAACATAAAACAATTATTTTATATATTATCTGCTGAATAAAAATTGATAATTTATTTCATGTGACATGAAAATAAAATTTGTATTTTTTTGAAACCCGCGCCTTCACGTCAAATATTTATCTCTTTGAAATTATTTCCTGTTCTAAAAATTTTCGGCGCATATTTTAAGTTTTAGATTTTTGCTTAAGCAGCACCATCTTAAGTCTTTCTTTTTTATGATCCATTTTTTAATGCACGAAGATCTTTCTCCTTCTCCACACTCCATAGTACAACACGATGATGCACAACATGGCGGCTAATGTCAAGTTACGAGGCAACCTGTTTAATTTAATTAGTGATGGGAAAACCCGATTAATTTCAATAATCGAGTACTCGAGTTTCAAGCGATTGCAATAACCAAGTGATCGCTCGAGCGAAATATCACTCGTATTTAAAAATACGGTTTTTCACCCGTCGCTTGTTGTAAGTACTCGTTAACGCCAAGCGCCAAGCAGTAAGTTGCGTGCGCAGTGATGAATGGCAAGTAGCAAGCGGTGTTTGATTCGCTTAATCACTTGATTTATCGTTTATTTCAAAGCATTGTCGATGTAGGTCGTAAAATTTTGTTCCTCAGATACGCAACGGATAAATATATATACGGCGTCGTATAAATTTGCTACCTGCAATGTATGTAGAAAATTCGCTCGGCTTTTTATCGAGTATGTCACATTAAAATCGGATTTCAATTTATTTCATTCTAGGATCGCTTGCGTTCGTCGCTTGGTACTCGTCACTTGCATCGCTCGTTCATAATCGAGTGATGCCGAATGCGAATTTTCGCTCGAGATATCCCATCACTATATTTAATAACTGGTTCACGTTTTCAAAATCAAAAAATAGCGACTGTCTTACTCCAAAATCTGATAAAAATTTGTAATGCGGTGTAAGTACCGTATGATTGAAAAAAAAACGGCGTCCAGTTGGCTGGGAAATGACGATTGATGGCATTTCCCATTTAAATTTACATAAAAAATGACAGCGATCTTCATTTCATAGCCATCTCTGACGCCGTTTTTTTTTCGATCATACGGTAGTAAAATAATAGTTTATCAAAATAAGCTGTTTTCAATAACAAACTGTCAAACTGTCATCAAACTAACTATTATCACAGCTATTATTTTTGAAGCACCAACTTGTTGATATCTTATTTATAAAAATATTCAATTGAAAATGAATGAAAACAACAGCAGATCTTTAAATAAAACTCCCTTTCTATTCAAGATAAGTCCGGTGACGTTGGTGCCAGCAGCTCCTTCGAAGAGACCGATGTTATTTCCGACAACCTAAAACGAGCCCTGTCCTGCGACAGCGTCTGTTCGGACACCTCCGTGGCTTTGGGTGACCTGGAGGACTTGAACGTCAGCGGCTATTTGTGTATCGGCCTAGAATACGACAGGTATTGTGAGCGATAAATTGTGTTTTGTCTGTATTGTCGCATCAAATTAATCGATACAGGTTAACCAATACTTTAATATGTTGAAAACGAATGAGTGTTTTGTCACAGAAACAGAAAATTATACATTCAGATCCAAAAAACGCAACGGAGAATGTTTTAATCAAGTTTAAAGTGTTATATTTTTTTACTTTTAGCCATATTTTTTATGATTTTTTTAGCAAACTGTATATAAATCTATTAACTTTAATTCATAAACTCAGTTTTCTATAAACATTAGTATTTGGTTTACTATACCGGGTTAATTGAAGTTTTGTTTGTTACCCTATCTTTAAAACATCCTTTGCAATAATTTCGTGAGTAACTTTTTCTAAAACATTATTTATCGATCAGAACCGTGTCTCCTGAGCATTTTCTTTTTTGATTCATGTCAACACGTGCCTTGTTAATTTTTAAGAGCGAAATGAAGTTGCCACGAATAATTTGCAATTTTCTCAACTATCATTACTTTATAATGTTATTTTTTAATATCTCTAAGTGGCTTTGGTGACTATTATCGTAATGTCGTATCGATACTGATTAGAACTCTTTATTAAAATTTAAAAAACGTCAAAATGTAACTATACAGACTTGGTTTTTATAAATATTAGTAACACTAACAGAACTAAAATGATGTTCCTGTCTTCTGATTTTTGCTCATGTTACCCTATACTAAAATAAATCACGCAGATTGAGCTACAGTCGTATCGATCAAATTTGCATCCATTCATGGAATCGAAAAGCAGCAAAATGAATATAATTTGAACTATTCCAAATTTGCATCAATTATAGAATTCCAAAAAAGCAGCATGAAGACCTAGGCCATAATCCGTAAAAAAATATATATGTAATGTCTATTTCAACTCTTTTAAATCGAAGGACCTTTATAAGTAAAATAAGTTTCGCTGGTTGCAAATTTTCAAGTAATTTGTTTATAAAATTATTAAAAAACTTACCCAGATTAAAGCTTGGTTTCTGTTTCGATCTTCGTTATCCCTGTGGATATAAAGGATGGACAAAAAAGGAAAAAGGATAACCGAATTATAATTGATAGCCACTATGAAACCGTTATAAAAATAACCAAGTCTAATTGAATAAAATAAATCTCAACCTTTTCGTCAGAGTGCCCATTGCTGTCTCTATTGAAAACTAATACAATTCTTATAATATATCTATCACAGTGTTGGAATTTGGAGACAACAATATTTAACGTTAAAATAACTGCAGTACTATAACTACTATAACTAAAATAAAATATAACAATATACAGGGTGGTCTGAACTGTATTTTGGAAACTTTGGCAGCATATTCTGCAGGTAAGTAAGTAAAAACGTTCGTATAAATGTATGTCCTAAAATGCTTAGTTTTGGAGATACATGGTATAGAAGATACATGGTCTGGAGATACAGGGTGTAGATTTCATTTTTATTTCGATTTTTTTCCAAATAATTTCTGAAGTAACATCAATATTTAGATGAAAATTGGGGTCATTGGGGTCTGGGAGTTTTTTGACATCAGAAATTTGATTTTGATGTCAATATGACTTCTATTTGTAGGGGGCGCCACATATGTTTTAATTGTTAATAAGAACAATAACTTTTCGTCTGTACCTGTATAAAACTACTGGGTAAAAAAATATACATTTCCGTGATTTTTTACGTAAAAAATATCTCTCAGTAAAAATGGCTACGAGCAACCGTTCTCGAGATATTTAGAATGGAAATAGTACTCAATACATGTCATTATTGACAAAAAATCAACATGTTGAGTAGATAGTTATTTGACTGAAATAGTAAATATGGGAACTTTTTATTTTTTTAAATTTATCATAAATTTTTCTTTTTGAAAATGATGATAATAAAGTTTCTGTTGAACTTTTGACACAAAAACATTTCAAATTTATGATTTCTTTAATAACTATTTAGTCAAAATGTTTAATTTATGTCAATGACGACAGGTATTAACAATTTCGATTCCAAATATCTCGAGAACCATTACTCGTAGCGATTTTTACCAAGAAATTTTTTTCGTAAAAAATGTCGTAAATATATATTTTTTCACCCAGTAGTTTTATACAGGTATGGACGAAAAGTTATTACTCTTCAAACAAGTTAAAAAATATGTAGGTGGCGCCCTCTACAAGTAGTAGTTATATTGACATCAAAATCAAATTTCTCATGTCAAAAAACTCCCAAACACCATTTTTCATCCAAATATTGACGTTACTTTGGAAATTATTTAGAAAAGATGAAAATACACCCTGGATCTCCGAAACTTAGCTTTTTAGGACATACATTTATACGAACTTTTTTACTTGTTTTTATCTGGAGAATATGCTACCGTTTCTCCGGAATACAGTTCGGACCACCCTGTATATATCAACTTATCGAAAAAATACATTTAACAATTTAAAATATAAACCAATACTTTCCTGACGACCCAATCAAAGTTAATTTAAATAAAGAAATCAGAGAAATGATCGCCGATTTAATTTCCACTAAAAAATGTTTAGTCGCGTCACAATTAATTATTGTTCACATATTTTTGCGTTGTACTATAAATTTAAATAACTACAAATTCTGTTAACTGTCCACTAAATACAAGCTGAACTACTAGTTTATATCATATTTAACCAGATAGCGCCCTATATAGCTTCAATAAGTGAGTATTCCCAATTACTAACAGTATTCCGAATTTACTTGCCCTCATTTACCTCTAACAATTTCACTGCAAAGTATATTTTTTAAATTATTATCTATACCTTTTATTCTCTACAGCGAAAGTTGGGATTTTATCGTCAACGTGTTAGAAGCGAAAAACTTGAGCGGCGTGGCAATAGTAGACGGGTTCATGGACACGTACGTCCGAGTGTCCTTGCTTCCCGACAAAGAAGCGACCATTCAAACTAAAGTGTACAGAAGCACCAGCAGCCCTAGTTACAAAGAGAGGTTTCTATTCTCGCTGAATCCAAGGGAGCAAATGCAGGTGAGTCGAGGTCAAGGGCATAACAAAGAAGGATAAAGCTTTAATAGCCTTGGCATTGTCTATTATTAACCGTGAATAGGACAATGCGTTTTATTCAGGAGACGTGTAAAAATATTCGCATAATTTTTTAGTTCATGAGACGCACTTCTTTTAACTTTTTTTCAGTGAATATAATTAGGCTGTATTCCGTTGCAAAACCAGGCGAACCAGACCGGTAAACTACGGTAAAGAGCGGTTCCTGAAAATTATCGGTTTGATACGGAACGGTTTGGTAAAATACTGAAAATGTCAAATGTTGACGTTTTCTAAATTTCAATAACTTTATTATAAAATTTATCTTTTATGCGTTTTTAATGTATCTATTTTCTGCTTTTATATTTGCTTCTTCTTTTCAATGGAGTTTTATATTGAAAAGTACTTTATTAATGAACTGTTAAACTCGTTAGACAGCTCAAGTGAAGATTTGCAGGTCCAATATTAAAATAGATCAATAATAAATAAACAAATCTAATCAATATTTATATATTTATAGCTTACAAAACATTCACGATTACTGGTTGTCTTATTTCTCATGTTTTCTTTAAATGTTCCTGACTTTAAGAAACAATGGCTGCATGATAAGTTTAAATGGTCCTAAAAAGTCATTCTATTTAGTTAATGAAATTTATTTACTTCTACTACCTACCTCCATTGCTTTTGGATATGAATTCAAAATATTGCTACAAATTTTAGAAATTAAATGAGAATTTCACTCGAACTTCCAATATTTGCTTCATTTCTGTCACATAAATGACATTGGGCGCGTTCGGGGACGGTCAGCGGCTGAGTGGCTGAGTAAAGGCGGGTTCTCACTTGTCAGTTTCGCTGACGCAGTCTGACTGATTCATTATCAATGACAAATAAAAAACAACGATTGTATTCACACGTTTCATGTTTTGCTACATTCAGTATTCAGTTGGTCCAAACATTCTAATGTGGTGATTTCGTATAGACATGAAAATGGTTAAAACAAAATTGAAACCAGGTGTTCGCGAAGTTTGTTTACAATTAGCAAATGAATTACAGAATATTCTGGTGAATCAGAAAAGAAAAAAAAAACGTCGTTGGTGGTCAGGTCCTGGATATTGCGAAGAAATAAACGGGGTGCTAGTGAAACTATATTAAAAGAATTAATTAACTTAACTTGTAAACTGCACAAATCACGAAAATGTAGTTCTCACGCTTCAGTTTCTATTCATTATTCGATAATGATCAGTCAAAATGAAAAAAAGTAGAACTGGTTTTCACTTTAACTGAAAGTACGAATATACTGATCATTTAACATGAAAATGTGTTCTGACGTTCATTGTTTGTTCAGTATCACTGAATCAGTCAGACTGCGTCAGCGAAACTGACAAGTGAGAACCCGCCTTAAGCGGTTTCCCTAAACGGTCTCTTTTTTCACGCAAAAACAGTCAGCCGCTGAGCAAAATACTCAGCGGTAGGTCAGCCGCTGTGTTCCCTGAACGCACACATTGATTGACAAAGAAAACGAGAAAAACCAGACTTCTCGCGCTGGTTACACAAAACATCCCCCTTTAGAACTTTTTCTTTAATGGCCATAAGCGGGAGTAAAAGATCAACCGCCCGAACAAACACTAGAGGCGCCACCGGTCATCAAATGGTGTAAAAATTGTCTAAATTTAATCATCTAATTTTGACACAAGGGGTCGCGCTTAACTTTTTTAATTTTAATTCAATATTCATTGTTTTCAAACTATATTATTAGACTTTGTTGTATTTTGTGAATGTATAAATGTTTTCTAAGTATAAAGTTGCATTATAGTAATTTAAATTATATTACATACATATTTAAGATTCAAATATTCTGACATATATGTCAGTTGCCGTCTAAAATGTCATCTTGATAACAAAAAGTTAGTTATTGTGAAAAGTAGTTAAAATCATGTTAAAATATTAAAATTTACAGGTTATAATTAGATATTTTATATTATTTCAACAACAAACACATAATAGTACAGCGTAATGTTGATATGCAGGTCCAAAACAAAAAGTGCCGTTATATTTTTCAATTTTCGTTGTCAGCCGCGGAAGCTTAAGTGTTTTAAAAATATAGTATTAAGTGAGGGGTTCAAAAGTCAATCAGTGTAAGTCAATCACCAAAAAACAGAATTTAAAAAAGTTTCTTCCTTTAATATTGATTCCAGATTATTTTTTTTCTATTATCTCAACTCAATTGGTGATTGACTTGTGAACCCTTTGGATATGCTTCTAAATTGTTATGCTATACAGTATTATAACTCAATATTATAACTAATTTTTAGAGAGCCTTGTGTTTTCAACTGTACGCCACAGATTACCAATCGCACACCCTTATTGGCGAGGGAGAACTTCGACTGACTGATGTATCTTTAAGACAGCCGGTAACGACCTGGGTAACATTAACTGACACTGGACAGGTAATACACATTGTAAAATTTATATAGAGGTTTTGTACAGGGTGGGTCTTAAATAAGTGCAAATATTTGTTTACCCTAACACTACTATGAGTTTTTTTTACGAAAAAAGATGTTGAAAATCGTGCATTTTCTTTTAAAATTTCATGTATATTTTAGAATTTTTTTTAGAACTGTCTGTTCACTTCAAATTTGCGCCCACGGTATTATTTCTTAATCTCTGATATTACCATAGTTACGGCTTTGCTCTATGGTATACATATTAATCGGTTTTAAAACGTTCTTCGACGACTTCCGATGCTTTTATTCTTTTTCTCCAGTTCTTGCGTGGTCTACCCCTTTCTCATCGCCCTGCTGGTTTCCAGTTCAGGATTTTTTTGGAAGCCTCTCCTCTGACATTCTTTGTGCGTGGCCATACCATATTAATTGTTTCGTTCTTATGTTATTAGTTGTTCGATTGACCCCCATAATTTCTCGAATTCTGTTGTTCGTACATCTTTCTCTTCTGGATTTACTTGCGGCCCATCTCCAGAAATCCATTTCTGTAGCTTCCAGGGTGCACACAGCCTTTTAACTGCCATACCTCGCTACCATAGCATTATTATCTATACCTATAACGATGCTTTTAACCATTGTGCTGTATATTTGACGTTTATTGGATTTAGAGATGTTACTCTAGACAGTTTTCGAAACGCTTAAAAAGAACCACCGGTAGCCGCTAATTGGCAAGAATGACATACGAAATGTCCCATTCAACGTATATCCCTAACGTCACCCGCGGCTATCTTACGGACGATAGACATAAGGAAAACGATACCGTTACGCATGCGTTGAAATGGTAAATTTGTCTCTATCTTTTTCTCTCCGAAACTGGTTCATTTCATTTCACATTTGATTATGACATTGACATCAAACCCATTAATTGATTGCTTCTCACTTATATTTGTATTATACTAAACACTAAATTAAGCTTACTTGGGACAAATCAAATCAAAAGTTAAGGACAAAATATTTTATAAACAAAGGAACAATTAGGTTAGGGCTAGGTACGTCGTACGTCCAGCGACGATGACGTTTAACTTAACGCTAACAGCAAGCTGGTCGCGTCGAACGATTCCAAAAACACTTTTAAGGAATCTGACAAATAGCGGCTAAGTTAAAGTATACGCCTATGTTAAGCGTCAAAACGAATACAACATCGAAAACTGTCTACTATCCCACAAGACGCCATTTAACATAGAGATTGCCTTTCTTCCATGAGCGTTTCTGTTTCTAATGGCTTTATCCAGTGCCATCCTTTGAAATGTTGGCCCTACTCTATGGTTACGACACTAGGGATGCAAATACAGAAAAAATCCGGTGGCTTTCAATTTTTTTTAAAAATAAATCAATTTGTTTAAAAAATTTTAAACTCGGTTATTTTGGACTTATTTGAAAAACGGTAAAAGAAAATATGTTTATCGAGTTCTACCAGCCTTCAAAATATTTGCACTAATTTAAGACTCACTCTGAATTTATTTAAAAGTGTACTTTCAACGAAATTCAAAATATGTTTTTACTAACTCTTTACTTAATTCAACTTACAGTAGGTTTCGGTCAGTAGTATCACTGACCGTTTTTCATGTGTAAACTTTTCACACTTTGGATTTCAATGAAATCAAAATTCAATCAATTAGAGGTGAGCAAAACATATTCTCAAATAATATTTGGACAACCATTTAAAATAGCACATTTCTAATGTTTATTGATTTTTTGTTGTTGAATCTAAATATTAAGTTTAGTTTTCATGCATCCAATTTTTTTCAGTGGAAACGTCCAAAATTCTCGCGGTTGCATGAAAACTGAGCTTAAGTAAAGCATTTTAATAAATAAATGTCAAAATATTTTTTCGTTTTTGTTTGTCAGAGAGGCACAGAGTTTGGTGAAATAATGTTTTCCCTAAGCTATCTACCCACAGCGGAGAGACTTACAGTCGTAGTTGTCAAGGCCAGAAATTTGAAATTTCAACCTGGGTCTTCCGGAGAAGTATTTGTTAAGGTAAACAGTCTCTTAGACCAATTCACATAAAACAGTTTAAGCTAAACCCGTATCTGTATTACAGGTTTATTTAATGGTACAAAATAAGAAAATCAACAAGAAAAAGACTTCAACTAAAAAGGGAGAGCACTGTCCTATATTTAACGAGGCCATGATGTTTAGTGTGCCTGTTCATGCACTTAATGTAAGTACCTACAGTGCGTATAGAATAATCAGTTGTTTTATAGACTTTAAATAATTTCTGAGTTCTCAGTACAAAGCTGTCACGTCTCTTGTTCTATCAGCGATACCAAATAAACTTTTAGTTGCGTAATAGAGGGCGCGATTTTTAAATTCATTGTTGCCAACCATGGACATATTCGACTAGAATTTATATTTTCTGCTGAAGATTTAGGTGGTAGCTTTGCTGTAAAAAATGTCAAGTTGCCACATTTATTTATTTATTTCCTGACATTTTCATTCGTTTTGACACTTTAGTTTCGTATTATGAGTTTTTGGTTTAAATATATTGTGTTGTGATACTTTAAGATTAAACATTTTTACTAGCAGGTCTTGCAGTAGAACATTGTTCTTTTTACAACCTCTTTTAGTGCGAAGTGTACGAGATAGCTTAATAGCCGTTGCAAAAAACTCATCGCTACCTTATTAGAATATTTTCAACGGGAAAGTGATAGTAATGGCCCTTTATGTCCTTTAAGTGCTGTTAAGGAGGAGAGTTTTGTTGGTGTCAATAATAACTGTTGATATATTTATAATTAATTTATTTTTGTTTCATAAAATATTTAGATTAAAAGAAAATAAGTAAAAATGGCAAGGCCGTGCCGGTCAAGCTTAGTAACGTGACTAAAAGTTTATTTGATATGAACTATAGGTATACCGTGCTGGCAGCTGTTACTTTTGGGTCGGAACTTACATGTGTGGAAGTAAATCGCATAGGGATCTTATTAAGTCGGACTGAGAGAAATGCGAACGTGTGCTGTTGCGGCGTTGCCGGTACGCCTTTCCCTATGAGGTAAAGTAAAATCACGATCGCAAACCGCTTATTTTTAAACGATTTTTTTTTTCGAAAAGATAACTGGATAAAATCATTAGATATGTTTCAGAGCATCTGAAATGGAATTATAAGGATATCGTTAAGGTGTCCATTTTTTATAACGATAAAACGTCAGTAATCGCGATAATTTAAAAACCCAACTTTTTAACACATAACGCGCAAGAACCACTTTAGATATTGAAACTTTTTTTTGAAGATCGGATCTTTTACAATATGTAATAAGAAAAATTCGATAAGGTTGTTTTTTTCATTCAAAAAGAGCAGAAATGTTAAGAAAGTTTTTGAAAGAAATACAATCAGTTATTTGTTATTTTTAATAGATTTTGAGATATCGATTCATTTTGAATGCAGAGTTCTAATAGCGCGACCACTGTCGAATACCAACTCAATTTCACTTATTTTTACCAAAAATGCAAGTGTTTCTAACTTGCACTTAAACATTTTCAAGCTCTGGGGAAAATTACACCGACTCGTTAATATATAAACAAATAAGGTATCGCGAGACGTAATTACCTAAATCGTGAAGCTGAACGCATGATGTACACCTTTCCCTAGAACTTTAGGTACAGACCACAAACATTTAGATTGGCAACTCTCGTCATTTATCGAGAACGCGTTTTACAGCGCTCGGTGACTTGAAGACGTACTAAAACTTCATTTTTCCCGCCAGGTACTGGGAATTTAAAATTGAATTGCATTTTTTAGTTTTCAGTAAAATTTAACTTTTATTTTACAGAAAACTAAAAAAAGAAACAGTATTAATTCTTTCACGTTTAGAAAAAAGCGATATGTATATTATATATCTAATAAGACTGATAACGGGACTATAATAATACAAAAATCAATATGAAACACAACAATTTTATTAACAATCATCAAATAATACTATAATATTATCCATTCAACATTTGAATAAAAAATAATTCGTTATATAGATTAGTACCTTACGTTATAGACATACACATTATACAGACATTTTACATTATAATATAAACAATATTTATCAACAAAAGCAATAAAAACATTAAACTTTATAAAGGGACTTGTTTAATTTTATTTAAGGCTTTTATGTTTTACTTTATTTTTTTAAATTACTTCAAATGCAAGATCTCCTGGACTTGTATAACCCTAAAAAAATACTACATATACGAATTTTTAAACGGGTCAAAAACATAAGTACACTTACCTCTTTATCCATTGGCATACTATGCAAAATCGACGATTTGCTAGTGGATTTACAGCCCAACACACAGCAATATAACACCATTTTTAAAAAGTCAACACAATAACACTTCGTAACAATTACAAAAATTTAGATCGAACCACGAAGAAACCCAAAGAACGCCGGGGATAGACTGAAAAATTTTAAAATTCAGCCGGTCGCCCGTCTTTTGAGCAGGTACCAATCATAAAACAGAAAAATTCTTATTGGCTGTCGCTTTCCCCCACCAGGCGACACTAGCGCACGGTGTCTTGAAGTCGTACTAATTTCGTGGTTGCTTTCGCGGAGAGTGCGCAGGGCCTGGTATTGACAGAGGTACTGATTGGGTCGACCGGTGGACTGTGACAAATCTGTTATATCCCCTTCCACGTTTCTTAGCAATGTGCGCAGTTTCTCGATTTATTTCGTGCCTTTGGCAACGTGTTTACTGTTCTCTCTTTGTTCAGTACATTATAAACGCATTGTACTCTTCTTACATACGGAAATCTCGACCCAAGACTAACCTTTGCCAGTCTTTAGTATTTGTATATATTAACAGAAATACAAAAAGGCGTATTTTACATTTTAAAAGATGGTGATATACAATTTATACTTCACTTGACATTATTATTTTGATGTTCAGACAATCCAAATGCGACTGACGGTGGCTGAGGTTTCCTCAGAAGATAATTCCAAGGCCATCCCACTCGGTCACGTGATAGTAGGTGGTCAAGCGACGGGCAGACCCTTGAGCCACTGGAACCAAATGCTCATAGCTTTAAGAAAACCGGTAGCAATGTGGCACACTCTTAGAAAATAAATAATCGTATGTTTACCGTCTTACCTCAACTTGACAGCTACAAGAATTGATTAATTGTATTCCTAGATCATATATACTTATATGTTCTAGGATTGTATTTCCTATACTGCTGACAACAAAATGATACCCCTAAATTTTAAACTATACAGGGTGGCGCACCTCATTCGCCTCGGTTGATTATACGAAAACGGAAAGATGTAGAAACAAAATATTTTATGGGTATATGTGGGGAGACAGTATGCACAATTTAAAATTATTTTAAAATATACAGGGTGTTTCATAACTTAGATCCATACCAAAGTTATATTTTTTCTTATGGAACACCCGGTATTTTATTTCATTTTTGGATTCTTGGGCCCAAAAAAAGGCATTTATTATAATGGTTAAATATGTTTAAAATCTTTAGTTTTTGAGATATTTAAAGATATTTAAATTTGCATGGCACAATAGAATCGACTATTAACACCCTGTACATTACTTTTCAAAATTAATTCTTATGCTGAGTTTAAAGGTAGAGAAATAAACTTTACTGAAAAATGGTATTGGTTCCTTAAATTTATACAGGGCTATCAAAAGTTGCTGATCTATTTTAAGGATATATTTTATATAAAAACTTCGTTATTTCAAACGCAACACCCTGTATTTTTTTAAATAAATCGAAGCAGATTCAAATGCTCTTTCAAACTATATTAGGGTTTCCTATACCTATCTAGCTGAGATTTTGAATAAAAAGCGATTTTTAAATAAAATTGCAATCAAGATGGCTGGTGTCGCCATGGCAATTTTCTAGTGACAGTTAGTAACTATTTTCAAAGTCGACATTAGTTTATGGACATTATTATTTATAATTTATAACAGTTTACTTAAATTTACCTATAATAGTTTAATAAGTAAGTATTCATTATTTTATCAAGAAAAATAAAGCAGTATCTGCTGGCGGAACGAATAGATATGTTACTAGTGATATTATTTTGTGAGGAAAATTGCTTCTTGGCCTCAAGGGCTTATGCTCAAAGATATCCAAATAGGAATCTTCCTGATAAGCGCTTCTTTGAAAAACTTCTTGTGGCAGAAACCTGTCGTTGGAAGTGAATAAAATGAATTTGCCGTAATTGGCTATTTTATTGAAAATGCATATATCTACAAGTCATATTAAAATAATTCAAAGAACTACTTCTTCGTTTTTCTTGATAGAATAATATACACATATTTAATAAATATTATTTATTAAACTATTGTAGGTAAATTAAATAAAAGTCAACTGGTATAAATTTAAATAAGTCCATAAACTAATTTCGATTTTGAAAATAGCTACTAACTGTCACTAGAAACTTGCCATGACCACACTAGCCATCTTGATTACAATTTTATTGAAAAATCGCTTTTTATTCAAAATCTGAGCCAGATAGGTATAGGAAACCCTAATATAGTTTTAAAGAGCATTTAAATCTGTTTCCATTTATTTAAAAAAATACATAGTGTTGTATTTGAAATAACGAAGTTTTTATGTAAAATAAATATTTAAAATAGACCAGCAATTTTTGATACCCCTGTATACATTTAAGGAAGGAATATCATTTTTCTGTAAAGTTTATTTCTCTACCTTTAAAATCAGCACAAGAACTAATTCTGAAAAGTAATGTACAGGGTGTTAATAATCTATTCTATTGTAGCATGCAAATTTAAATATCTTAAACATATTTAACCCTTATAATAAATACCATTTTTGGGCCGAAGAATCCAAAAATGAAATAAAATACCGGGTGTTCCATAAGAAAAAATATAACTTTGGTATGGATCTTAGTTCTGAAACACCCTGTACATTTAAAAATAATTTTAAATTGTGCACATTACCTCCCCACATATACCCATAAAATATTTTGTTTCTACATCTTTCTGTTTTCGTATAATCAACCGAGGCGAATGAGGTGCGCCACCCTGTATATACAGGGTGGCGCCTCTCATACGCCGCGGAGACTCCAAGGAGAACGACAGTTTGTATTGAGATGAAAATTTGTGAGCATATGTAGCTAGTGAACGTATGTTAATTCAGAGTACTTTTTAAAAATATAGAGAGTTCTACAGGGTGTCCCCAAAAAAAGTTATATATCAAAGTTGTGTTTTTGTAATGGAACACCCTAATATTAATTGATTTTCGGATTCTGGATGAAACTATATATAAAAATATGACTAAAATGTAAGGGTTATTACATATTTAACATTTTCTAGAAATAAAGAACAATTTTTAAATTACAATAAAAGCTACCTAAATTGGAATTTACCCAGTATAGCCTAATATGTAGTTAAATTAACTATTGTAGATATTTTCATTTACATGATTTGATCTGAGTAGATCTTTATTATTTGATAAAATCTAGGTGGCTGTATATGTCTGACGTTACTTCAACATATATCTGTCTAATTAGTCCAACTTTAACAACTAATTATGATTTTGTGTCAGTTAAAACAAAAAAAAATCTCAGAAATTTGCCGAAAATGCAAACTTATCCTACATCAGAGAGAACTGATATGATTCTATTGTTGGTGAATGCAGTGTGCATTCACCATTTAATAGAATACTTAAATGCTCCTGATTTTATCTAGTCTGGGTTTTTTATGGGGATATATTAAAGACAATGTTTACAAAACTCGACCAACTATTGTCGACAACATGAGAAATGTTATTGTAGCTGCTTTTCGAGGTAGAACTCCACATATGCCTTTTAAAAAGAAAAGATCATTTTGAAAAGACAATCATTTTATGCAGTTAACAGGAAAGGAAGCATTTTGAGCATTTGATTTCATCTAGTTAATTTTTGTCACGTAATTATAGGTTTATATCTAGTTTTAATTTTTTAATAATTAAAATGTTTTGAACGTGGATCTTTTTATTGCCGTTGAGTATTTCACTCTACAATCTTTAATTTTTATTAAATTAACAAAAGGTATATCACACAGCCACTTAGATTTTTCAAATAATAAAGATCTACTAACGCAAAATCATAAAAATTAAAATATCTAGGAAAATATTTGTCTGAGGGGTAGGCAACCTTAATAATATTATGAAGATATATAAATTCTCTATTGAACACCGGAAAAATAGACTGGGTGTTCCATTTAAAATAAAGGAGTAACTTGCTTTTAAAACTGACCAATGTTCCATATTAATTTTGTCTCACCCTGTATAACTTTTCGGGTCAAATTTCAATTTGGTTTAACATACAATGGTTACTGTAATTAAATATCAGGCTATATAGGATCAACTAACATTTAGGTAGCTATTATCTAAATTTAAAATTTACTCTTCATTTTTACAAAATGTGAAATGTCAAAATCCTTAGATTTTAGGTATATGCTTCTTTAATAAAACTCACGTTTATTTTTTTCCTAGAATCCGAAAATCAATTAATATGTAGGGTGTTCCATTAGAAAAAACACAACTTTGATGTGTAACTTTTTTTGGGGACATCCTGTATAATTCTATATATTTTTATAAAATGCTTTCAGTTAACCTAGATATGTTGTCAAAATTTCATGTCGATATAAACTTCCGTTCTCCTTGGAGCTTCCGCGGCGTATGAGAGGCGCCACCCTGTACATCGTATTATTCCAAGTATTACTGAAGTGAAACTTCTTTACGCGGGCTGGAAGTAAAAATTGAAGGCCGTGACACGACACACGAGACGACACGCGACTCGACATACGAGAGGAAATGGTATGTGGATAGATTGGACCAAGGCCAACTTGATCGTGTACGACTCGTGTCACTGTAGCAGTTAGTTTTGACATAAGAAACGCCTAAAGTTGATGATGTCCAGTCGCGACCAAATTTGGTGGGTAGGCTATCTGAGCGACAGTGCACACAGTCCTACTGTGCAAAGTTAGATACGAGTCGTTTTTATCTTCATCAGGGTGGGACTAAGGATTTGATATCGAAGAAAAATGTGTGTCGATTTCGGCATAATTGAGGGCTCTCGACGTTTCGAACCGATCGATGCCTCTAAATGGACGAAATCGTCAGGATTTTTCTTAATTATGGGTCGATTAGAACCACACTCGGCATGTGGATAGAGATACCCGAATTAGGGTTCGGAACCGGGAAATACCGGTACCGAAAGTACCCGGTTCTTTTGAGACATCAAAGAAATTATTAATTCCCGGTTTTTTCGGGACTCGGTAATAATAATTAAAAACATATTTTTGTTACGTGCGAAAGACTTTATAGTATTAGTTAAATTTTTATGGTTACATTTTTATAGGCATTTGCATCTTTAATTGAAAATGTTAAGTTTTTTTTCCAAATTCATGAAAGCCCATTAGTCAGTACCGAAAATACCCAAAAAAACGGGAAATCCCAGTTTCTAAGAAACGCGGTACCGAAATTACCGGTTCCGAAAACCCTAACCCGAGTCCTCAGACGGACAGAAGGTTATTTTAGTACAAATTTTGTAAAAGAGAATCAAATTATTTATTAATTTTTAATTTATTGCTTTTTCACAAACCAAACATTTCAAACTACAATTTTTCAAACATGTTCTTCAAATCCTTCAATTTGATAGCTGTTAGTAAGAAGTTTCACTTCAAATATGCGCACATAGTGCACACACATTTTTTTTTAGTTTATATACCTACAGTTCGTCTGGTGGATCTATGTCTATGAAAGGAATGAGGACAAAAAACATTTAAATAAACAGCAATATATTTTATACGTCGACTTGACGAGTACGTCACCGCAAATCGCTCCGCCCACTCACTTTATTGGCTACTTGCAAATTTGTCGAATTTTTATTGATGGGACGCGTCGTCTAATTTTTTACGATAAACATCGAGAGAATATCGTTTCCCCTCTCACGGATACCCCGTAGCCACAGAACGGACAGACGTACTGTATGTATAAAATTCCAAAACTATGAAAATATCGTATAGTTGAACGAATACCCTTTGTTGATATCCGGTTATCATAGAACATAGAACACAGATCCAAAAACTGAAAAACACTCGGTATAATAATTAGGTAAAAGTATAATAAATTAGTTATATTTGAAGCAATAAAAAATAAAATGCAAACATCTACAAAAAAAACAAAAGAATAAACATTAAATAAATGAAGACTTGAAGTAAATAATCTGCAAAGAGTACCAAAAAATCGGTTTGTCATGTCGTATTTGTAAAATAAAAATCAGACACCGCCTGTTCATATACCTACATTGGTTATGGAGAAAAAAATATTGTTTATCTCGAAATAATGATTGTGGCACTTAGGACATTATTTACTTCAAGTCTTCAAATAATGTCAATCATTTTGATCGTCAGCTGTTTACTTCTCAAACATTTATGGTTTGTGGTTTTTTTTTAAGTTCAAACTCACTGACGGCCAGGTCGCAGCGACCAGCCAACGGCCAGGATGCTAGTGCGCGTTGTATCATTTGATCCTTGATTATGAATAATTGATTTAATGGTATTAGGTGTCGCGACCAAGCTGCGACAGCTTGGGTGTGGCGTTAGTGCGCGTTATATCATTTGATTGGTGGTCGTTGGCTGGCCGCTGTGACCTGGTCGTCAGTGCGTTTGAGCTCTAATAGAGAACTATGTGTACCTACTTAACTTCAATATTTATTTTACCGACAAACCACAAACCTCTAAAGTGGAAGTTTGGCATTATTGGAAACATGAATAAATGAATGTTAAATGTGTGTATTAGGTTAAAAACTACATATAGTTAATGATATGCGTATATGTATATTGTGAGAATGTAAACCCCGAATGATAACAATGAAAGTGATATTTTTGCAGGTAGATCTATTGTGTTTGTTGTATAGTTTATAATGACGTTAGTACACTTTCTAAGAAGTAGAACAAAAACAGTTCTGAGTTAAAAATTTGGACAATTTAAAAAAAATATATATTTAGTGTTATTTTTTAGTTTCATCATTAAAGTACCGTATGATCGAAAAAAAAACGGCGTCAGCGATGACTGTGAAATAAAGATCGCTGTCATTTCATATGTAAAATTATATTATAGGGAATGTCATCAATGTTCATTTCCAAGGCAACTGAACATCGTTTTTTTTTTCGATCACACGTAGGTATTTTGTGATCAATTTTTTTATGATGAAACGAGCTTTCATTTTCCAAGTTAAAAAATCCTAAAGTAATAGTCTATAACATTCCTTCAAAAAAAGACTATACCTACACCATTCTTGACCATAATAAAACTTTTTATATTGTATCTTCTACTTATCAATGGCAAATCGTAAGTATCAATTTTTTATTTTAGATATTGTTTAGAATAAATGTCTACAATTATGTTCAATGTTGACATATTATAATATGTATCTTGTTGCTGTTACAATAATACCTGGTATTTCAGCAATTTACGAATGTACCTAGTATTTTACATTAGCATACAATATCATCCATCTGCCGAGTTAGCAATACCCTTGTTTATACAGGGTGAATCTTAAATAAGTGCAAATATTATATAATATTTTTAGGGTTAGTCTATTTCGACCCCAGAAACACAATTATGAGTTTTTTTCCAAAAAAATTTTCTGAAAATTTTAAATTTTTTAAAAAAAATTGGATTTTAAAAATAATTTTTAAAATAGCATTACCAGGAATTGTACTAGGAACTATTGCATGCCATATATATCTGGAAATATTGTTAAAACATGCACTACTATACAATATGATCGAAAAAAGAACGGCGTAAGCGATGGCTATAAAATGAAAATCGCTGTCATTTTATATGTAAAATTATATGGAGAATGTTATCAATTGTCATTTCCAAGCCACGGTCAAAATATACTACCTCTAAAAATATTTGCACTTATTTAAGGCTCCACCCTGTATAAGAGCAAAATATACAGTTCCTGTCTCTAAAAATTAAAACAAAATAGTCTGTTATTTTTTGGTTATAGACCAGGTATTTTTTTTTATTATTCTAGAGTAAAATTTGGTACATTGGTAAATTAATTTAATATAAAGAAATACTATACTGGAAATAGATGTTTTGTTGTTTTCTACAAATACAAACTCATCTGATAAAACATATAATTAACTTTGATTAATATATAAATCACTTTAAAACTACCCTCTTAAAATAATTCAAGACTATCCATAAAATTTTATATCCACTATTGCTAGGTAACTTTTTTTATTATTATATGTAGAGCTGTTGTTTCATATTAGTATACTGATGTATAATTTCAAACTCTTTTATGAAAGAACAAAGCATGAAATAATTGAAGCTATTAGTGCAAAAAGGTGATTTTTCCAAAAAGTTAAATATTTTACCCAAAAAGGCGAATTTATAAAAGTGTTATATTGTAGTTTATTATATTTTTGTGCAAATTATAACTTAAAATTTATGTACACTGTTAATTTTCTATCTATAATACTAAAATAAGTTACCATTAACCTAAATTTTCATATTCAAAGATAAAAAATTCCTTTTACCTTTATGACAATAATGTTGAATATATCAGTACATTTAATTCTGTATGCAACTGACCTATACCTACTAAGTACTCTTCTTACTGCTTCTGTATAAATATGCTGTGATATAAAATTCTATACTGGGCCAACACTATACCTAGTCTCCCCTTTTCTATCTTATCTCTATCTTTAATTTCTACATTAATTTATGAATTGCTTTCCAATCGGTAATTAGAAGTGAATGTGAACATTTAATGTTATGAATACTCACTTTAAATTTACTTATAAATATAATATAATTCTGTGATCCTGTGTGAATGAAATATATGTAATATACCCTCATACCCCTTTTCCCTTATCCTCAACTTTCTTAACTTCCCTTTAAAAAGACTGTTATTTAATAAGATATTAAACTCTTCAAGTAGTGTCAAAAGAATTTCATATTATAGGTAGTAAATCAAAATAAAACATTTTCATAATATAATCTTGAAATTTTAGTGACACTACCATATAAAACACATATAATTTAAGAATAAACACCCCAAGTTACATAGTTCACTTGCTGTTAAATATTTAAAAAATACTAAAGACATTCAGTTAATGTAAAAATAAAATTGTAAAACACAATCTGTGATTTATTTATTATCCAAAAAGTATTTTACAAATGATGAATAACCAACCATAATATGAAACCGGTAATTATAAATTAGTTTAACCAAAAAATATCCCATCTTCTAGTGACCATATCTATAAAAAAAATTATTAAATATACCCAATAATAATTAATGTCACAAAAAACTTACTTTTGGAATTCCCATTCCCTGTTGTCCAAAGGACACACTTGTCTTGTTTTTAACCATCTTGAGATGCAATGAAAATGGAAAGCATGCTAGAAAAATTCATTAAAAATTAATATCAATTATATACCTAATATGATCGAAAAACAAACGGTGTCAGCGATGGCAATGAATTGAAAATCGCTCTAATTTTATATGTAAAATTATATGAGGAATGTCATTGATCATCATTTCTAAGCCAACGGGGTCCCGGTCTTTTTTTTCGATCATACGGTATAACATATTCAGTTAAAATTACGTTGCATACTCCCCAAGCAACTGTACATTCCTCACTAGTTGCAGAAGCTTGATTTGCTTGGCATTCGATGCACAAATCCATAATATGATTGCGACAAATAGCACAATTATCAACGACAATATCTACGAAATTAGAAATTTATAAAATGCTTATCCTGTTCTACGGAATTGTACTTACCCCAAGCCCATAAAGCGACAGCATTCCACTGAAATATTAAAAGAAAAGGAAATTTTGATTTGTCATTTTGAGGTTATAGAGTTACCTTTTTAACTTCGAAGCGTTTTCGGTCGCCTTTAGAGCTGCTCGATGTTGGCATTTCTACTTCGTCAACGTCTACGTCCATTGCAGAAGCCATTTTTTGTTATTAAAATTATTTTTTTTAATTTCTTTTATTCAGATCTTGATTGAGAGATATTCAGATATTTACACTAAATTTGACATTTGACTTGATGCTACATGAAGTTAGGAGCACAGTTAGGAGCAAAAGGAATATCTTCTTTTTTTTAATTAAGCCTAAGTTACTAGGATTATCCGGCCTGTCAGTAGATGATCTTATCTATAACTCTATGGTAATGTTGAGTCATTTTATTTTTCTCAGAGAATAGGTACATTAAAGAAATGCTAACTTCATGTTAAAAAATGGAAACAGACGCCACCTGGTGCAGCCTGGCAGTACTAGCTAAATTGAGGGGAATTGGAGGGGCGGGGCTTAAAAGAGGGGAAATTTTTAAAAAAATATTTTTATAACTGATTTACTGTTTAAAGTTAATAAACATATTTTTTATTACTTTAATATAATTTAAAGTATTAAAAAATATCTCTATTAACTTTACACAGCAAATCAATGATATTATTAAAGACTTATTATTTTCAGAGAAAATTCATAGTAAATAAATTACACATTTAGTAAACAATATCATTTATTTTTTAGAGCTGCGATTTATATTACAATAATATTGAAATATATATATATTTTTTGATATATAACAATGAAAAAGAATATCCCGGAACCTGAAAAATAAAGATGATCAATTAATGACTTAAATTAGTTCAAAATACATTTTGCAAATAACTAGGGAATTGGAAAGATAAACATACTATTAAAAATACATTTTAGTAGTATGTTATCATCTATTTACTGATAATACATAAGTATATAATAACATGCATAAGGCACTATGAAAATAACACACTAATATCACAAAAAATATGTGCTAATTTAAATTCCTTTATGATCTAATGAAACACTATCTATAGCCTCAATCAGAGTTCGGAAGTAGTTAATTGAGACGTAATTTACCTGATTAACTACGTGTAGTTTTTCTTCAAAAACTACGTCTTTTCCCGTTCATTAACTACATGAAAACTACTTTGATAAACTATGTATTGATATTATGAATAATTTTCTTTAGTATGAGGTGTAATAGAGATAATATGATGTAAATATTATATTTAAAGCCATATTTTTTCTGTTTTCTTAAATTCATTATGTGTTTTTAAAGCTTCAACTTATTATAACCTCACCTCAAACCTTTGATATTTGACATAGGTTACATAAACTACACCCTCTACATAAACTACATTAACTACATGTAATGTAGTTTATGTAGTTTTTAAAAGTAACATGTAGTTTTCCGAACCCTGGCCTCAATACATGCCATTCCAAAGACAAAAAACTATTATACCAAATAAATATAAGCTGAATAAAACATAAACCAAGCCAACGTGCATAAAAAACCAAAAAATGCATCAAAAAATACTTTTATCAGATCATACCCTTGGATATATTATGTATTTTATATATCGCACATACCGTTCAAAAGTTTACTAACTCAAAATAGAGAATATAGAGAACATTGTTAAGAGAAGTAAAAGAAAATTTAAGTTAAGGCAATATGCTCCTTTTTGGATATTAATGGCCAAATAATATAATGTTGATTTAATAAAATTTTACTGGCATCCTTCTGAGGTATAAATCAGATTAAAAGGACATTGTTTTTGTAATAATTGTTTGTTTTGTAAACATTTTTTGAAGACAATACAGTTTTGAACGGGCTGTGCGATATAAACAAGGATCTTACTATTATTTGAGGTTAGAAAGTATTTAAATAACATAAAACATAATCAAAATCATTTGTCATCATAAATTATAGAGGTACTTACGTGTTTTGATATTATTATCAGGAAATAATACGTTTAGTTAAACAGGTACGCTGCCAGGCAAGTTCTATCGGCGGGTCTTTGCAAAAGTTGAAATCTAAAAATACAAAACTACGTTTACATCTTAGTTGTATTTACGAATAAAGTATTTGTGTGTAATTTCTGACTTACCAGTTAATTGAATAATCGCATTAAATACATCCAAATGGTAATTTAATATTGTAAAAGCAAAATTGTTTTAAATCACTTGCCAGGACAGCCGGCCAGCTTCTTTGTTGACAAAATGGCTGCGGTATCATGATTTAAGCAATGTGAGTGACAAAGAAAGCCAATGCCTGGCAAATGTTGCTTTCTTTGTCGTTTATCCTGGCACGTTTAAATTTGACTGTTGCCTATTTTCCCATACAAGTGACACCCCCGTGATTTTTCTCCTCTTTTTTTATTGATAGATCATCTGACAGGTGTTCCACAAAAATAAACAAAATTACATTTTTTTAGGGAAATTGCAGATTAATATGATATGAATTAGTTATCTATTCCTGGATAAATTATGATTGTGAAGTGATATGTAAGTACACTGTTGTAACTTATCGCTTATTTGAAATTTGATTGTTTAACGCTAATGTTTATTATTTATTTGTAGGATGAATAGTAGGAGATATGTTATAGCAAGTGCAATAATCGGCTTTTGTGCAATATCTCTGTTTTTACCCTTCTATGTGACACTAGCTTGTATACCCATTTTACTAATTGCGTTAATTTTACTGGGAGTGTCTTTTGCACTATGGATAAATGTTATGCTTTCGTCGCCTCACAAAACCGTCTCTGGAGCTGAACATATATTAAAACAATCAGAGACATTTAGAAATAAATTATTGGTAAGTAGGCTTTGAGTTCACCATTAAAAAAATGTTATTTTTCTGTTATCATACAAAGCACACTTGATTATATAAAACTTTTTAACCATATTGAATTAATTTATTTTGTAGAAAGATTTTGATTCAAATCAGTCAGTAAGGAACATTCAAAGTAATGTTCCTCAAATATTTGGAAGAACAGTGGACAGTCTACTCCAACAATTACTAGATTTTGTAATAAGAGACTATATTATTGTTTATTTGAAAGACTATGCATATGACTTGGAATATTTATCGGCAAATATAAAGTATGAAGTAGGAAAAGAAATTTATAGAGTATATGTATATAAATATTTTTTTGTTGCAGGGATGATTTATGGGGAGCTGTAAAAAATTTACATGAAAAGTTTTTAAGGGTAGACCATGCCAAGCTTATTGCTTGCGATGTAGTCACAGTTATAACAAATCATTTTGAAAAAATTAGGGAATCTAAAAGTATTATGTGAGTAGATTTTAACAATAACACTTATAAATTCTGATTATATTTTTTCTCTCTATTTAGTGCAGATCTAGATATGCCACCTGAATTTGTGTTGTCTGCTCATGTGATGTCTTCAGATGTTGAGTTACATTATCTGAGAGTTTTGAGTGAAGTTTTTATAATGTTTTTATTACCTCGTACATATTCATTAGCGCCGACAAAGTATTTTTTAAGAGAAGTCTTGTGCTGCAAAGGTGTGATTTTTTTCTTACCTTTTTTTTCATTTTATTTCTTTTTTCTTTTTATCTCTTATTTTTTCTTTATCTCCTCAATTATATAGACCAATATTCTTTTTAGTGTTCAAACCTTTTGTCGATATGGTGACTGATCCAGATTTTTTCAATAGAAATCTTATTAATTACATTGAAAAAACTAATCAGCAGCAAATTAATTTGCCAAAGAAAGTTTTAGAAAATGTGGAAGTTTTCATTGATAAAACTGATGATATTCAAGTATTAAAACAAGTCAGGTAGGATCATTAGCTTAACTAGCAATTTATCCTGGGACGGGCCTGGGGGGTCTGGAGTTTTTTTTTTAAATGAAAAATAATTTAAAAAAACACATTTTTTTAATAAAACGTTTACATGAATTTCTCTATCAATAAATTGCATAGACTTGGTTATCAAACCGTGTTCCCGTAGATTACTTAAATACCTACAAACTTTTAAAAAAAAATAAAAATTAACACATTTTTTGAACACAACAAAATAATATTAACTAAACAAAACTAGAAAACGTCATTTTTACTGCATCAAAAGCAAATAAAAATTAATACGTAGCCAAGAGTCATAATTCAGGATTTCTCTGGGGGGTGCCCAGCAGTACCTGGGGGGAGGGGCACCCCTGTAGTTACGCGCAAGCCAATGGGTAGGATATATTTTTTAGATACAACTAATTGTTTTTGTAGATTATAATTTAATTCTTATAATATATCATGTTATTTATAAGTACATACATATATCTTTGTTGATATTTAAACTGTTTATGCCAAAAATTGAAAATACACAATCGAATAAATGAAGATTGCTGTCATTTTATATGTAAACTTATATGGTTAATATTATCGACTATCTTTTCTAAGCAAATTTAGAGTCATATATTTTTTATTTACATATATTTATTTATGCCCTAGGATAGGTATAAATAGGTAAAACTTGTTAATATATTTTATATATTCAGATATAGCATTGTAACAAGGCTAATGCAGGCTACAACCCTGCAAAATTTGAATCGAGCTAAAGGAGTTGACTTGGACAATGAAAAAGGGAATATGACGTCATCGGGGATCCCTAAGTCTGACATAACGGCAGCTAAAAAACTGAAAAAGACTATTAACCATCTGACGATGGCGAAAAATATGTGTGACAAGAAACTACTCAATCTCGGTTGTGATTTAGGGTTTCAATGCGGCGACGATTTTAATAAGGTTAGTATTATTAAGAAGATTGTTTAATTGATTGGAAAAATAAGAATATATCGTATGTTCGAAAAAACGGTGTTAAAGATGGCTGGGAATGACAATCGACGGTAATTTTGACGACGTCAATCTTGATGTCATTTACTAGACTGACAGTAAAGTGCCATTAAACAATAAAGAAGAGTACAGGACGAGTAAATGACGTCTAGGGTTTGACCTCGCTATAATTACCATCGATTGTCATTCCCCAGCCGTCTTAGACGCCGTTTTTTTTCGATCGTATGGTTAGATGTGCGACTCTAAATTTGCCGCCAATTTGTATTAAACTAACGTTTCCCGTGATCAAAAGTCAAACTAATGGTTCTATTTTTACCCCTGCCTTGATCCTTCTTTATTTTATTTAAATATTAGATTTTTCAATACACTACATAAACAAAGTGTTATCACCGTTGATTGAAAAAATAATAAGATGAATTTTAGGCAAAAACCTTATGGACGATTTCGTGGCACAAAAACTGTCCGAGATGTAGATGGCAATACCGTTACCGCTAGTCAACCTGTCCAAGATTTAGTCTAGCTCTGCGCCGCGCCGCCGAGCGCTGATAGTCGTTTACAGCGCAGCGGATAAAAAATACTGTACCGCAGTTCTACTTTCAGTCGGCAATTAAGGGGTTTTCGGAAACTGTGATCTGATTGATCGGATTGATAGGATTACTAATCCAGACGTTCGAAAAGGGATCTCAAAACGAGTCAATGCGTTCGGAAAGTGATCCGAATAACTCGATTTTTGCCATATGTTGTGATCCTATTAGCTCTCCTAACGAGGTGGGTAGAATTAATCAACTGATCATTTCTAGAGTAATTTTAAAAGTAACGGTTTTGGTATCGGTCCGCATAGAAGTACAACGTTTTTTAATAACCGTTTTGTCCAAAATCCCCTTATCTAATGTTGATCAAATATATGATATTTTGTTAGTGACCGTGAAAATGAGCCAATCAGCATAGCATCAAATAACTCTAGATTTTAAACAAATAAAAATCCAACAAGTAAGTCTGAAGATACTGATTGCGAAAAAGCACTATCGGAGACACCCAAAAGGAAAAAAAATGAAAACTGAAACTACAGAACTTAAGTGGTTTTAAAACATTTAGATTAAAAGAACCAGGCATAATGAATAATAATGAAAGAATGGCACTTTATAGACAATTTCTGAAAATTTTCATCACAATGGTAGATAAAAATTAATATATTTGTTTATTATTAATATGTTGGAAAGTTTATTATGTTGACAGTAAATAAATGATTAAAATGAAGTTTATAGTGTATTTGTTTTAAATGGCATAATTTTATAAAAAGGACTAGGTAAAACACATTTTGTTTATATAAAAAATAGTCTTACAGAAACTAAAAAGTATACTTAAAGCAAAACAAATAGGATAAAAATAGATCTTATACATTCGTTAAAGAGGAATATTAAGAATATTTGCTTCATTTATCTCTTTTTACGAAATATATTTAAATTTAATTGTTAACCTGGTTAATCTAATGATCAAACCGTTCGTAATTAAACTACCGCTGATTACTCTCAGCACTGATCTTGGAACAGCTGATTAGTAAACTACCTAATCTAGAATTTTAATTCCGAAAACCCTTTAACTTAAAGAAGCAATTGCAACCAAAATATATTTTACAGAATTGTTTTTCCCTTTGAAGTATGTGTTTTAATTTTTTTAGTCTTGAAGGTACATGCTTTTTGGCAATTAAAATCACTTGCACATTGAAAAAAATATATAAGTTTTTTGAGATGTCCAGGAAGGTTTTATATTAAGTTATGTGAAATTTGACTTCAGCAGTAGTCTCTGGCTTTATTTGTATTAAAAATGGCATATAAGAATTTAGCTGGATCTTTTTGGGTATCTGTCAAATTTGACATTTAAAGTAATAAATGCCTAAAAAATGGGCTTCCTGACTGAGATTCGAAAAGCTTTATGGAAAAAGTTGTTTTGTTTTTAAATTTTACATCATTTTACATCATTTTCAGCCAACTAGATGAAAAACATTTCTTCGTTATGTTTAACCAATAGCAGCGGATTGTCGTGATTGTAACAATATTTTTTTCAAACAAAATTCTATATTCCAGGTGTTACCCTTAATAACTGTTTTGGACCACATCTTAGGCCGAAAATTTCTATCGCAATTTCTTCAAACTTTAGCCAGTCACGACCTGGTCAGGTTCTGGATAGCTGTAGAGGAGTTGCGTACGGCACAACGAAACCAGTGGCACCAGCTGGGTGCCGAAATTTTTTACACTTTTATTAGGAATCCCATTTCGGAAATCAAAGTCGACAAGACGATACGAAAAAGGATGGAATCCTTTTTGTTGGGTAGGTTTATCAGAGAAAAAAATTGGTCCATTGGGTCCGAAAAATAAGTGAGAAACCAAAGCAAACCAAACACGTTGTGAGCGTGTTTTGCTTGCTATAGCTGTAGCTAGATATTAACCTAACTTAAGGTCCACCGACGGTCAAATCATTACTTTTTTGAGTCTCTCCACAAAAAAGGGCTATTTGAAAACTAGGATAATTTCGAAAAATTTCGGATAATTTACTGATTTGGCAACCATGTAACAATCCGTAGCGTTTGTCAAAATTTTACTGTTACTGTCAGCATACATCAAGCTTTATTCATATAATCTAAGTTCATTTTAAGTTCAGATACACTTCATTTTCTAAAAGAAAGTAAAGTAAAGATTTCAGTTAACTTCTCTTTTATGCTGACAGGGCTAATCTGGACGGGGCCTACTTTGTTTACGCGGAATCCGAACCGAATCATGTTCCTCGGCCAACTCTTACTCACGAGATATCCGATCTCATCTGGCCTCGAACCGGCGTGAATGAGCAGTGACATCCGGCACTGATAAACCGGAATTTAAGTCGGCCATATTTAAGTCCCATCGCGGTGGATCTAAGATTTTTGATATACTCTTTCCTTAATCTTTTTATTCAAAGGGAGCTACAGATGCTCAACGCACTGTTGCCGGGCCGGTATAAAGTATTAGGAATGACTTTGAACCGTTGCAACCCCTATTTGTGGCAACTTTTTGATAGGCACCCTTATAACATCATGCACAGAATAAAAATAGCTTTAATTTTACATATAAACATCAAAAAAATTTATGAACGTAATGTCATCTCCAAAATCAGTTATTATTATTAAATATAGTTGTTAAAAGTGTACTCCCCTATTCATAAATATACTTATAAACTTTGAATAAGAAGACTAAGGAAGGAGCATAATGCTATCCATGTATTCATGCATGATGGGCGGAAAAAGGACTCTAGTGTGGGGATCCTTGAGAGTTCTGTTTGACGATTCATTTGACACATTTGAATTTGATTTGAAATTTTGTAGATTTGTCAGTCTTAAGGAGCTTATTTTGTGTTATTTATTATTTATTCTACTATTGATAGTTGTATAAAGGTAGTAAATCTAGATGGAAATTGTGGCAGAACTTAAATTAACAGTGACACTATCGCGATTTATCGAAAAAGACTCTAAAATAGTTTGTTGTGTAGCGTGCGGTAGATCTCGGCAAAAATCGAGTGAAATAATGGAACAACTTTTCGCTAGTAAGTGACTATATATAACTCTGTCCAACGAGAAGATCCTTGACAGTGATAGATGTGTCTGTCATTTTTTTTCAAAGTAGTTTATTTTATTTTACAAAGAAATAAGTTGGTACAACTGGAACGCATAGCATGAAATTAATATATTTAAAATTTGACTGACAAGTGATTACTTCAAAATATTGTGAAAAAAACTGTATAAAACTGAAAAAATTCAATCGAGTCATTTTATTTAATAAAAATCGGTATGTGTTGATACAAAACAAACAAGAACAAGACACCACATACCAAAAAAAAATATAAAAAATAACTATTTCTTACTTTCAAGTTTTATGAAACTTCCCGTATTTACGATTACTTATGTACAAATAAAAATTTGTAATCTTCTACAGGAATAAATAAAACAACATAAATAAAACAAACTATTTTATTAATAATGACACTTACCAAATTTTATACTTTAAAGGTTGATTAATTAACTTTAATCTTAATTGTTTTAAACCACTACCTTTTGATATTATTTTTCTGCAGTACTAAAATCCATTATTTACCTATCGTGTGATGTCGATATTTTACAGCTACTCCAGTTTTTAGTACGTGTTTAGTACGGTCCTTCTACCATATTCGAGATGCACTAACCTACGACGAGATGGTATACGAACTTTATTGATGGTAACTTTATTGGTGTTTAAGACTTTCTGCCTGGCCAGCGAGTATTAACCATAAACTGTACTCTGGGTCTACAGTTAATTTTCACTCGATTTTTCCTCCACTTGACTTCAAAAGACACAAAACACACGTAATAACACGAATCAAAATGCATCATCTTCCAAAACGCAGGGTATTTGACAAAAGTTGACACAAAATTATAACCGCTGCTTCAGTAGCGTATCGGATGTTTATGGTTATAAATAATTATTATAACTTATCTATTTTTATTAGAATTTTATATTTTTATAACAATTTTAATAACTACCAACATTTATTCACAACGTAAAATAAAATAAAAATTATTGAGTCTACCCCACGTCTACCCTACATCATAGTTTTACATTTTTTAAATAAAATTTGACCGGCACTGATAAACCGGAATTTAAGTCGGCCATATTTGAGGCTCATCGCGGTGGACCTAAGATTTTTGATATGCTCCTTCCTTAGTCTTCTTATTCAAAGCTTATAAATTAGGTTTTGATTAGAAATATCATGAGCATAATAATCCTGTAGCCGAATCTTGACTATTACAAGACTAAAACATCCGCTCATTCGTTACTTGCGGCATTCTTTTCTTAAGTAACAACCGTTGGGTACAATTATTTCTACATAACAGTTGTAGAGTAACAGGTCCTTAAAGAACAACTCATCTTTTTGTCAGGTGATAAGGGACCCGAGGTATTCTATGAAGTACAGCAGCAAGTAGTTCAGACCATAGAAGACAAGTACTACCAGCCGTTCTTGATCAGCGACTACTACAAAGAGATGATTATAGCGATGGAGAAGGAGAATGACATTGTGGAGACTGACAGCGGAGGTTCGGGTGATGAAAAACAGAGTTCTGTCGATTCTACTACCACTGTAGAAACGGGACTGAATGTGGGAGATCATTCCAATTATGCTAGAAGAAAACTCGACCAGTTAGCGGAGAAACTAAATAATAAAATTCAGGTAGGTAGCAATGACTAAAAAGATTAACACACTCTTGTTTTTGTGAATAAACACCAAAATAATTGATATTTCTATTTGAATAATAAAAGTATTTTTACAGGCTTACCTTACATATGCCTATTTTTTTAGTTTTGTCAAAGGTTTACTGTTTTGAATAAATTCTCAAAAGACTAACTATCTAGATAACCTAAAAATGCCAGACATAACATCTAGATAACCTAAAAATGCCTTCAGCTGATGTGTTTAAATGTAGGCCAAACGTCAACTATTCACATATCTAATAAAGCGCACTCTTACGACTGGTCTACTTAGCAAGTACGCCAATATTTCCGTACTTGGCAAGTAACCCCACCAGTCCCCACTTTGTAAACAACATCGGCAAGTGAGGCGCTCACACAACTTGTCCATTTCAACAATTATGCCAGCACAAACATTGCTTAAATCCTTGGCAAGTAAACAGTATAGTCGCATCGAAGGATACTGGTCGTCCCGAAATTGTCGTTGCTAGTGATTCTTTTTTCTTTTTAAGTTCTTTTACTGTACACTGCAATACGATATCTATGTTCTTTATGTTTGGCCATCCACATGAAGGGCTCATTTTCGTATAAATCCATAAATTCCAAAACAACATTTGAAGACTACACGAGAAAAATCAGTTTTTTCCATTTTAATTGGAGCCGAGAAAAATGCAATTCAGTGTTTTTAAAGAAATATGTTATTTTCTGTTAAATAATTAGAAAAATATATATTACTACCAATTTTGAATTATTAATATTGTGAATTATTGCCCTATTCTACCTTATACCGAAATAAAAATGTTAAAATGCAAAACAAAACAGGGATGTCCAATTAATGGTTGTATAAAACCTAAATCTACACTATTATTTTTTTGTTGTAGGAAGAAAATTAATATTTAAGCCGGTTTTTATTACAATACCCAAGTAGCATTTGGACGTTATCTAACGTCGGGTATACGTCGCGTTCAATAAACCCGACGTCGGGTACCAACGTCGGTTCGACCGCCTGACGACCCTTATTTGCACCTAAATGGGGAATACAGATTCGGGTCGCCTCGACGTCGGTATCTGACCTAATAGGGAATGTAATTCTACCAATTACCAACGTCATATTACGTTGGATTTTAGTTACTTAAAATTCGTCGCTAAGCACTTTACCAAGAATACATAAAAACCTAACCAAACTACCTAATTACAAATGGATTCATAATCACTCCTCGAATATAACTATCATTGCCTATCTAATTTCATATTATAATAATTCTGAATCATTAATCCAGACATCAGTTTTGTCAACGGAAGTCACTTTCTTGATATATCTGATTAAAATACTCCCGAAAACAACGAGCGCCTTCAAAATTAGGTAGATTTATGAAATAAAAATATCTATAAAAAAGTAACTCGCAAAATATTTTTTTAATTTTCTAGCTGGTTTAATCATAAAACTGTACTGTGGTTCCCCCCAAACTCAACCTTATCAATATTATTCTTAATACTAGAAATCGGAATGTGAATATAAATTTTAAAAACAAAAACGATTTTAAAATGGCTGACAATCGGATACGTGTTAAGAATGGCGGATTTCTGTGTCCGACTTAATATGAACTACCAATATACCAATTCCAACCGGGTCTCCAACATTAGTCGTCTCACACGATCGAAGTCATCAAACCGGACGACCGGCAATCGTATTATGACGTATATAATTCCAACGTACGCCACGTGACCTCACTTTGCGTATCAGTGATTTGTGGATTTGTGCAACTATATTTTAGTTTTTGTTTTCTCCTTAAAAAAAATGGGCAGCCACTTTTTTACGCCTAACCTCACATATCGGAGGAGGATGGGGTCTGCTGGTTTCCTAAGCTAAAAAATGAAATTAAGATGCACCAGTGTAATGCAGCATCTCTTCCGGATAAAAAGCATTTACGGGTGGAGGCAAGACATCACTACTACTATTATTATTTTGCAAAAGCCTCGACCTCTTTCTGTAAAATTTAGATGAATGTCTAAATGCCTTTTTAGTGTTTTTTTAGGCATAATAAAAAAATTAAGTTTGTTTACAAAAACTTTTTATTAGGTTATGTTCATGATATTTATTAGGTCGCAAATGCTACTTAATGGGTTGTATTTACGGACGTAAATAGAGATACGTAAATTAGGTTATAAATATGAACATAAAACACAACAAAATATAATTGGACGTTACTTTAGGGATTATCAGTGAGACGTATCCTATTCGGACAACGGGTAGACGTCGGGTTAGTTCAAGTATATGTACGTCGTGCAAGCCAACGTAGGAACGACGTTGGGAAATTAATAAAAATGGTACGTTGTTATTTTGTACGTCGACAGATCGTTGGATTTACCGACTCGGATCCAATGATGTCGCTTTTAATAGGAAAGCGACGTCACAGGTCGTATCACCAGCACCCGACCTAAATTTGCACAAAGTCTGACGTCGCTTCAGGTCAGATTTAGTTCGAAGTCAGATAGATGCTACTTGGGTACATAAATTTATAACATATAATACTAATTGCAAGATGCATGCTTGTCGACCATGCGTAAGGACATCTCTAGTTTTTGCCATTTACGCGTGGACTACTCTGGTTTTTCGTTTGTACGGCAAAATAACCAAGCTGTAATATCTCTGGGACTAAACGTATTATTGCTTTCTTTTTTCTCGAATGACGTTAATATTTGTCTATAAAGTTGTATCGCTCAACGTCGCTATCTTAATTTCTATGAAAATGTGACATATGTGGTTTTTCCCGTGTAGTCTTCATTTGTCCACTCCATTTATTGCTGTGGGAACGATTTAGATGCCGCCAATATTGAAGTTATTAATGTAAATTTGATATTACATAATCTATTATTGTTTTAACGTTTTAAATTATCCGTAATTAACTCGAAAAACATGCGCCTATAGGCGGCGCTGATTCTGAACTATTGAAATGCTGCTATAATTGTAGTATTAAATTTAATTTATATTTATTATATAAATTTTTGTAGAAATTTAAAAATGTGAACTTATAACTTTTAAACATAGAGAATGTGGATAATGTAGGAGGTGGCAACCTTGCATTCTCTCGAAGCACTATAAGACATTTCCGAAAAATGGACAAGTGGCACTTAAAAGTTTTTCAATATTTTCCAGAAAATGTCAAGAAAAATAATACAAGCCAAAACTCGTAATACAAAACTAAAGTGTCAAAACGAATGACAATGTCAGGAATTAAATAAATAAATGTGGCACCTTGAATCCTCAGAGGGAAGTTCAAATTCCAGTTAGTCAGCCCGGCGCCAAATATTTCTAATAAAAGGTTATCAATTAAAAATTTAATTGGTATCGAATATATGTTTTTTTGTTAATTTTAATACAAAAATACAAAGGATTTAGGATCTCTAGGTTGAAATTCATTTACTTACTAGGTTTTTTAACTTATTATAGGCCTTAGCGGCTCTCAAGTCATCGATGCGACCGGAATCTAAAGTTTTGGGCAAGTTAGAAAACGAAGTCGAGTGGCTGCAAGGAGAGAAACGTCAGTTAGAAGCTCACTTGACGAGAACGGAAATTTGGGCCGAAAATTTAGGTAGATGGACCACTATCGTGCAAAGCGCTGAGGTATATCCCTCTTACAATATTCATTAGTGTTTTTAAGTAATGCAAAACATTTTACTGGATAATATCTCGGATTATCTTATATTAAAAATGTTGAATACAATAATGCACCTACACCCTGTGTAAATAATATAGGGGGTGCGGTGCGCAATAAAACATGCAACAAATTAGACAACTGATTAGAAATAAATTTTAAACAACTTTTTTCTTTGACTTTATTTGAGAGATTTTGTCATCTTATTCATTCTGTTACAGTTGTTTGATGATATATGTCAAAATTTAAAATCCGAAATCCGTTGTTTTTTTTATATCCTGTATATTATATAATATTTTTTTTGTTGATTTTTTTAGGCCAAAAACCGTGTGCGTCTCAAAAGTGGCTCACCCCTATAATGTTTTTATATTTTTATGCAGGGTGTCCCAGAAATAAGTACAAGTATTTTAAATGGTAGTATAGTTCAACCTCAGAAACACGCCTGAGGTTTTTTTCGCGAAAAAAATTTTTTGAATATTTTTTGGAAATTTTTTTAGTTTTTAGTTAAAAAACATAATTTCTTGATAATACAGCAACATAAATATTAGATCAAATTTACAAAAAAAAAATCCAGAAAAGATCCATTGGTTCTCAAAATTTTAGCAAAAAATCATTTTTTTTTTGACATTTTCACTGTAAAATATCTCCGTTATTTTGGACTTATTTGAAAAACGATAAAGAGAAAATATGTTTATTTTATCGAGATCTACCATCCCTTAAAATACTTGCACTTATTTCTGGGACACCCTGTAAAAAAACGAGATTTGGTATGTTAGTATATGACATAAATTAGGATTGATTGATATATTCAATTGTTGTTGGTTACTTCTTGTTTCACCGGAAATGACTATAACTTTTGATTTTTAAATAACACCCTCGGTATTTTTTTACTTTATTCGATAGTAAATTACACTCTGAATAGAATGACTTATCATATGTCAACTTTTGACATTTTTGCAAATGGTTTATTTGAAATCGTAACAAGCGTTTCATATCGACAATTTGTCTCGAACTACCATGTGTGTGGTACCAAATTATTCGTAAAAAATGCTTTTTTCCAAATATGCTAATGATCTACCCTTGTTCTATTTGAAAAAATTGAAATATTATTAAAAATACGATTTGCGCATCTTTTAACTGGCCAGGGCAAGACACTAAAAACATTAGACGATCTAATCTATTTTTCCAAAGGTCCTTGATTAAAAATTAGTGTTTTTAACACAGCATTCAGTGTCATTTTCTATCGAATAAAGTAAAAATATACGAAGGATGTCATTTAAAAATCGAAAGTTGTAGCCATTCCCGGTAAAACGGGAAGTGAAAGTGACCAAAAACAATTAAATACGTCAATAAATCCTAGTTTATGTCATATACTAACATACCAAATTTCGAATCTGAAAAAAAAAGTTATAGGGGTGAACCACTTTTGAGACGCACCCGGTAAACTTATCTTAACCTTTTTTCCGACTACTACATATTAACAGAAAGAAACATTTATTGCAATTTTATTAGTGGACACTTTGTCTTTTAAAATGATCAAAAAAATCACTCGATATAATGATTTTCCTTGCTTGCGAATACTCTTCTCTATATGACAACAAATCTAAAAATATTTCTAAATTTTCTAGGTTCTCGAAGAAAAGGAACCTCTTCAATTTGTCCTGGTAGTTCAAATGTCCAAGGACGACCAATCAGACGGCGAACCAATCAGCACCGGCTGGGTCGTATGTCGCAGCCTGACGGAATTTCAAGAGTTACACAAGAAATTGCGACCTCTGTGCTCGGAAGTGAGGAACTTGGAACTGCCGTCGAACACGTTTAAGTTCTTGTTTGGCAAAACCGACAAAGCCTCTCTCGACAAAGCCAAGTTACAAATCCAAAAATATCTTGACGTGAGTTAATAACTTCGTTCCAACACACCAACTTGTACAGATCTTGAACGGTAATTGGGATCGTCGGCATCGGATTTGTACGCATGTGTCGATTTGGACAGTTCTGTTACGATGCCAAAATTAAATGCGGGTTGGAACAGTTTGTGAACTGATTTTAGATTCAAATTCATAACCTAATTTTTAATTATGGAATTAATTATTAAATTTGGATTTTTTTAATATAACTTATGAATTTTGGATTTTATTGCATGTAAATTAGGATATTACCTTTTTTTTTCACAACAAGGGGCCGTCCTCAGCCGGAAACACTGCGACCTATGAGGCCTATTGTGTTTGTCCTCTTTCTATATCTGCACCCATTCTCCTATCCCTGTGCCCTGCACTAACTTTTGCAGGTCCTTGATAGGATGGGAGCATAGTTCCTCCGGTTCTAGCCTAGCTTTCCCAAATAAAAAGTGTCGCTTGCGATCCAGAGCCTCGCGGTGACATATTATGTGCCCTGCTGTTTTAGGATCTTTATCGCAGAGTCTGCAGCAAAGACTTCCTTGATACAGGTTGAGTTTATTCAGGTAACACTTGACAGTCATGTGGCCTGTCAAGAGGCCTGTTGTAATCCGCACTTTATTCCTGATAAGTATTATCAGTTCTTTTGCGGTTTTAGAGCTAGGTCCTTGGATAAAAGCTTTGCTGTGCCTGTGCCCCTGTCTGTTTCTCCAGTGGACATTCTGCTTTTCCCTGATCCAGAGTTTTAGTGTACTACGGGCCATTTGGGTATTCCCAGTAGTGGCTCTGGACCAAGATAGGATGCCGATGATCCTTGCCTAGCTAGCTCATCGGCTTTTTCGTTGCCTTGGATGCCGCTGTGACCCGGCACCCAGAATAATTTAATAGGATATTACATTTGCTTCATTTCACAAAAATTCTAAGTCATTTTCAGTGATATACACATACTCAATATCACTGTCCTTTTCGTTACAATTCATATTTAATGCAAAAATATGTAAATCTTTAAAATATGTATATAAACGACAAATAACAAATAAAACTTGACCGATCAGCAAATTAAAAACAGAAATAGCCAAAAATTAATAAAAAAACAATCAACTGACACAGACTTTTTGGTTCTTTCCTTTAGGCTGGTATTGAAATCACCGTCCCGGAATCGCTTCACTAACGATTACAATTCTGGTTTGAACGCAAAAGTTATCGTTCGCTAAACGAATCTCTCGTGGTTGGAACGCAATTTCCTACACTGCGTATAAGCGTTGCCGTACCAAGACCGGTTTTCTGTTGTGTTGGAACGAGCCTAATATATAAACAGAATTAAATAACCATACAAAAGCGACACGCACCAGTTTTTGAGGATCACATTGTAAATAAGTATATTTGTCATATCTTTGGGCTGTAATCTCAATATTTATTTCTGTAATAATTATAATGGCTTTGCAATTGCAGGGCACCATAAAAGTTACAATAAAATAACAGTTATATAAAGAATAAATAAATAAATTGTACATATTTGAAGTGAAACTTCTTACTAACAGCAATTATTAAATTGAAAGATTTGAAGGGCATGTTTGAAAAAGTTTAATTTGAAATGTTGAAAAAGTAATAAATTAAAAATTAATAAATAATTTGATTCACTTTTACAAAATTTGTACTAAAATGACCTTCTGTCCGCCTGAAGACTCCATTCGCGTACCTCTATCCACGTGCCGATTTTGGTTCCAATCGACCAATAATTAAGAGAAAAATCCTGATGATTTCGTCCATTTAGAGGCATTGGTTCGAAACGACGAGTCATTCATTATAGTCTGTCCCCAATTATACCGAAATCGACCACATTTTTCTTCAATATCAGATCCTTAGTCCCACCCTGATGAAGATGTAAACGAAACGTCGTATCCAACTTTGCAGCCTATCCAGCAAATTTGGTCGCAATCGGACGACATCAATTTTTGACCTTTCTTACGTCAAAACTAACTGTCACGGTGTCCCGTACACGATCAAGTAGGCCTTGGTCCAACCTATTGACATACCAAATGCCTTGATTTCTTAAGCTCTGCGCGCGTAAAGAAGTTTCGCTTCAAAAAATAAAAAATTTTTCTCAATATATACAAGTAAGTTTAATTGTCAAAATATGTGACTTCAAGGTCAAAAAAATTGAGACACATACTTCAGAGAAGTCGATGCTTAATGTCACTTCTGCATGTTAAGGCATTCTGTGATATAGAAGGTGATTGATTAAAATCAGATTATCCTGAACAGAGATGCTGAAGGAATAACTAATGGGGGTTTATATTTTAGTTTGTCTTAAAAAATGACCGACTGAACCAAAGTGAGGCTGTTTATTCGTTTTTAAGTCCTAGTTCAGAGCATTTGAAGCATTCCACTCCTAGTCCCAAAAAATCGAGGTTTTCTTTGTCGACGATATTTAAAAGGTATGTAAAGTATACTAAATTTAGGTAACCAAAACAAAGCTGTTAGATAAAATAGTAGACAAGGCCAACAAAAGAATTTGTTTAGTCGTTTCAATTAGCGTAGAAGTTTGTTCCTTTAATTTCAATGTAAGCATTCAAAATTAGTGGTAGTCTTTTTCAATTAGTAGAAAAAGTTGACAAATTTTTGACTTTTCCACTAATTATACTTCAAAATTTGCGAGGAATGTCATTTTGGCCTTTGATGATCATCCGTCAAGAGAAATTGTTAAAAATCAAAAGTTGATTGTTTTATAAGCTAAATATTAGGCTCTCTCTATGGATACAACTGACTACCGCAAGCTGTTGCCAGGATATTCTATTAAGTTTAACTGTGTTTTTTAGACATTGTGAATGATCATAAACTAAAAAGTATAAAGTGTAATTGAAACCACACAATTTATTCCACTAAGTGCGAGGTTCTGAGTGAAGATTTATATCTCCAAAAAAATCCTTTATGTGTATTTTGCAACTGCACTGCAAGAAAATCTACAAAATAAAATAGTTATTTTTTGTAAACACTTCTCCGTGAAACCTAAACGGACACTGCTTGTCAGAAGTTAATGTTTACAGTTATACAAATTTGCCTAATAAAGAAAAAAATGCTTAACGTTTCGGAAAGTTTATCTCTTTCCGTCGTCGGAAGCAAAAAAATACAAAGAATAATGAAAAAAACTATTTAAAATATTTAAATTCAACTATTCGAGAACACTACTTTCTTAAAATAGATACGTCTACAAGAAACCGTTGACGTTCTGTTAAAATCAGATTATATCAAGTTGTCAAAATTAACAATTACTACCTGATAACAATTACTTAATAAGGTAAAACAAAAAGCCCCAAACTTTCTGTATGATTATTTTTAAATTTGACGTATGTTTTGTTTATTTATGTTATGTTCTTTAAAATCAAAAAGAAGCGATTTCCATACATTACGAACATCTACAGATGCATGAGCAATACATTTATTTTTATTAGATTGAATTAAAAAAGCCTCTTTTATTTTTCTTTTAGAGGCTATCGCTTCTTTCATTATAATTTTGGCGTTATTAAAATTTATTCTGTGCCCTGTGTCCCATGAATGCTGACAAATCTTAGATTTGTGAAAATCTCCCTTTCTTAAATAATCTTTATGTTCTTTAATTCTAACATTTAAGGGTCTAGATGTTTCACCAATATAAAATTTATCGCATTCACATGGTATTTGGTATATCACATTTTTTGTTTGTTCTGTATTCATTAGTTAGGCAAATTTGTATAACTGTAAACATAACTTCTGACAAGCAGTATCCGTTTAGGTTTAACACAGAAGTGTTTACAAAAAATAACTATTATAACGATTTTGTGTATTTTCTTGCAGTGCAGTGGCGAAATACCCATAAAGGATTTTTTTGGAGAGATCAATCCGCCACATACATAGGTATAGACATTTTTTAAGATTTATAATATTAAAGTCAACAGTTAGTAGACGTATCTGCTAAAAACTATTATTTTTGAATAGTTGTATTTAGATACTTTAAATAGTTTTACTTTGTTCTATGTGTTTTTTTTTTGTTTTTGAGGACGATAGGAGATATATGTCCTAAAAATTTAAGCATTTTTGTCGGTGAGACTAGTAAAAAGACAGTGATAAGTGCGGTTTCTGTTTGGATTCAGCGCACTGGAGTTTACAAAAAATACTATTGTATTTGTAGATTTTCCTCCAGTGGCAAGAAACCCAGAATTATTTTCAAGAAATAAATAATTTATAATCTTTTTTTTTCAGTGGCAGCGAACAAAGTTCGACTTTTTCCATATTGAAAGACAACTCGGAAGAGGACATATCTCAGTGTTTAGAGACTGTTTCCATGGACACGGTGGACTTTATAAAACCCAACGGCAATGCCATTAAAGTCTGCGAGGATGGCAAAGATTCCATTGCCGAGCCCCTGTACGCTCTTCTCAGCGAGCTCTTCGACATGAGAGGCGTGTTCAAGTATGTGAGGAAAACTTTAATCGGATTCGTTCAAGTCACATATGGTACGATTTTAGCTTATACATTTTTTAAGTATTTTATTTATAATTTGGTGTAAATCTAACCACATAATGAAGCTATCTAAAATAATTTAAATATAAGCGATACTAATACTTTTAGTTACCTAATCGAAGGCGCGATTTTAAAATTCATTATTGCCAATCATGGACATATTCGGCGCCGGGCTGGTTAATTGGAATTTAAATTTCCAGCTGGTGATTTCAGGCAGTAGATCTGCTGTAAAAAATGTCCAAGTTGCCACATGTATTTATTTATTTCCTGACATTCTCATTCGTTTTGATAATTTAGTTTTGTATTACTTATAATATTATATTGAGTTTTAGGTTTAAATAATGAATTGTGTTGTGATACTTTAAGCTTAAATTTTTTTACTAGCGGATCTTGCAGTCGAACATTGTTCTTTTTAGAACCTGTTTTTCTTAGAGCATCAGCACGACAAGTATCTACTAAGGGCTGGCAAAGTTAGTCTTGGGTCGAGATTTCCATATGTAAGAAGAGTACAATGCGTTTATAATGTACTGAACAAAGAGAGAACAGTAAACACGTTGCCAAACGTATGAAATAAATCTAGAAACTGTGCACATTGCTAAAAGACGTTGAAGGGGATATAGCAGATTTGTCGCAGTCTACAGGTTGACCCAATCAGTACCTCTCTCAGTACTTAAAGTTCTAGGGAAAGGTGTACATCATACGTTCAGCTTCACGATTTAATTACGTCTAATACTTTATTTGTTTATTTATTAACGAGTCGTGGTAATTCTCCCTATAGCTTGAAAATTTTTTAGGTGCAAGTTAGAACCACTTTTTTTTGGTAAAAAAAATTTTTGGTAAATATAAATGGCATTGAGTTGGTGTTCGACAGTGGTCGCGCTATTAGAACTCTGAATTCAAAAATCGATATCTCGATATCTATTAGAAATAATTGATTGTAGTTTTTTCAAAAACTTTCTTAATATTTCTGCTATATTTTCTTCGCAGACAGTATGTGAAAAGCTTTATAAATAAAAAAGTTACACGATTGCTGAAAATTGCTATGCACTAAAATTAAATGGATGGGGTGTTTAAAATTTTTGAATGAAAAAAAAACAACCTTATCGAATTTTTCTTATTTAAAGATATTACAAAAAGTCCGATCTTCAAAATAAAAAAACGGTTTCAATATCTAAAGTGGTTCTTAAGTTATGGCGTATTATGTGTAAACTGAAAGAGTTTTTAAATTATCGCGATTACTGACGTTTTCTCGTTATAAAAAAATGAACACCCTAACGATATCCTTGGAATTCCATTTCAGATGCTCAGGAACGTATTTAATGATTTTATCTAGTTATCTTTTTTCGAAAAAAATGTCTTTTAAAAATAAACGGTTTGCGATTGTGATTTTACTTTACTTGATAGGGAAAGGCGTACCGGCAACGCCGCAACAGCACACCGTCGCATTTCTCTCACTCCGACTTAATAAGATCCCTATGCGATTTACTTCATGTAAATGCCGACCCAAAAGTAACAGTTGCCAGCACGGTATAACTTGACAGTTTTTTTGTTATGTGAACAATCGACCCCAAATAAATAATTTCAAAATAAAAATATGGTTTAAATCGTTTTAGAACACTTGATATAGAGCTTTTTTAGCTGTATTTATTCCCTTTTCGTCGCTTCCAGGTCGCAACATCAATCGGCAAATCTACGAGACCATATCGTGGTGGTTCTCGGAAGAGATGCTCCACTACTACGTGGCCCAAATCCTGAAAAATTTCTGGCCGGGCGGAGCGCTCGCCCCCGCCGGACCGCTTCGCACCAAAGAGGAAAGACTGGAAACGGCGCAACGGGCGCAGGAAATGCTGATCAACAACGTGCCCGAGATACTGACGACGCTGGTGGGCGGCAACGCGGCGCGCAACGGCGCCAAGAAGGTGTTCGACGCCCTGCAGGAGAAGAACATGAACAAGCAGCTTTTTTACGTGAGTTGATTTTGGCTTAGGATATAAAAAAATTATTGGGCGCTAAATCGAGACACTACGGAAGATGGTCTAGCAATTCAAACTTAGGCCTCATTCAGAACCTTGCAATTAGTGGTTTCAATTACACTTTATACTTTTTAGTTTACGATCATTAACAATGTCTAAAACACAAAACATCCCCCTTTCGAACTTCGTCTGTCATGTTAAGAAATGAAAGTAAATAATAAAGCGCCTCTCGTGTTTGTTCGCACTCAAAAAATTTCAGTTAATGCCTGTATATATTTTTAATATATTTTTTAAATTTACATTTTTTTAATTGTAAAGTAATATATTACATTTAAATGGAATATATTACATAACAATTATGTCAATTACAGGATTACAAGCTTGTTTTCTAACATTTTTTAAATGAAACGAATTATAAAATTTCAATATATGTATATTTGTCGTAGGTATGAAAAATGTAAAATATAAAATGGACAAACGCTTACTTACATTGCAATAAAACTTCCACTTTTAGTTTTGCAATCCAAACGCAATATTTCTATTTCACAAATAAAAATATCCGACAACACTAAAATCACTGAAACTTCCGCGGCTGACAACGAAAACTGAAAAATTGAAAAATTAAACGGCACTTTTTGTTTTGGATCTGCAAATATCAACATTACGCTGTACTATTATGTGTTTGTTGTTGAAATAATATAAAATATCTAATTATAACTTGTAAATTTTAATATTTTACTATTTAATAGTATATATAGTTTGAAAACAATGAATATTGAATTAAAATTGAAAAAGTTAAGCGCGACCCCTTGTGTCAAAATTAGATGATTAAATTTTCGCAATTTTTACACCATTTGATGACCGGTGGCGCCTCTAGTGCCGTGGCTCATATTTTTCTTAACTTAGCTCTTTGAAGAGATATTTATATTTTTTGATAAATGTTTTGACTACGCCTATGGTGTATACGGTGGTATTATACTAATTAATTACAAAAATTCTCATTCACATAAGTTTGTTAAAGGTAGATTCAGGCTGAGAGCGTCGAGCGTCGCGTCCGCGTGTCGAAATGGAATCAATTCACTTAACTTAAATTAGACCGTTCAGGCAGACAGCGTCGCGTTTGGCGTTGCACTAGGGTCCGCTGAGTTTCGGGGTTCGAGTTCAATCTTTGAATAAGAAGACTAAGGAAGGAGCATATCAAAAATCTTAGGTACACCGCGATGGGCCTCAAATATGGCCGACTTAAATTCCGGTTTATCAGTGTCGTTCTAATTTTATTTAAAAAATGTAAAACTATGATGTAGGGTAGACGTGGAGTAGACTCAATAATTTGTTGATTTATTTTACGTTGTGAATAAATGTTGGTAGTTATTAAAATTGTTATAAAAATATATAATTCTAATAAAAATAGATAAGTTATAATAAGTATTTATTAACACAAACATCCGATACGCTACTGAAGCAGGTAACTCAAATTAACGTATCTAAATTCTTTGACATCTAATCTTTGACAAGTAATAAATAAAAGCTAAAATGCAAGAAAAATATATAATTTAGTTAATTTAAGTGAATTTCATAAATGATCTGTTTACTACACGTATGTATATTATATAGTCACTTACAAGCGAAAAGTTGTTCCATTATTTCACTCAATTTTTGCCGAGTTCTACCGCACGCTACACAACCAACTATTTTAGAGTCTTTTTCGATAAATCGCGATAGTGTCACTGTTAATTTAAGTTCTGCCACAATTTCCATCTAGATTTACTACCTTTATACAACTATCAGTAGTAGAATAAATAATAAATAACATAAAATAAGCTCCGTAAAGACTGACAAATCCACAAAATTTCAAATCAAATTCAAATGTGTCAAATGAATCGTCAAACAGAACTGTCAAGGATCCCCACCCTAAAGAGCTTCTATGGTGGCTTTTCCGCCCACCATGCATGAATACATGGATAGCATTATGCTCCTTCTTTAGTCTTCTTATTCAAAGAGTTCAATGGGATGGACGCGTCGCTCGACGCTCTCAGCCTGAATGTACCTTAACTCTTTCTACTAATTGATTACTTACTACTGATTGATTTTTGATTTTTCTGTATTTCGATTTTTAGGTGTGTTTACTTTCAATTATCATTTCAATATCTTCAATTTAATAATTGCATTTGTTTCAGGAGGTGCTCGAGATCGTACTGGATTCTGCATTTCCCGAAATTAGTTAAGGTATACATAGGTCTATATTTAAGTTTTAATCACTAAAAATTTATATTTTTATATTTAAGTTTTAATCCTTAAAAAAATCTTTAATTTTAACTGTACAAATAAAATAACAACGCAATTACTTAAACTATGTTCTATAGAAAAAAAAACACTAAAGCTATTTTTATGAATTAGGAGAATGAAGTGCGTCTGTGTTTCTGTTGTGTTTTACTAGTCTATTAATGTTAAATTATTTTTTAATTGTATAAAACTATTATCATGACAAAAAAAATAGGAAAAACAAAAATGTATTTGTAAGGGACATGGATCGTGATCCAGAGCATATAAATTATTATTGTTTTTTATCCAAGCACAATTTTTATACACTTATTTAAGAGTTTTTATAGTGGACCTGTATATGTATTATTAATTTTTTCTACTCACTGTATATAATACCTGATTTTTATAACTAACATCATTTCAATCATTATCATTCTAGGAGGCCTAAAAAAACTAAAAAGTACTAAGTAAACCTAAAAATATTTTAATTATGGTTTTAGGAAAATTGTAGTTATAAAATATTGTATTTATTAAGATACAGAGTTTAGTGCGCAGGTCCATTATTTTTTAAGTTAAGTAAGACACATACAGCGAGTGTCAAAAAGTTCACAAAAATTCTCATTCTCTTTACAAATGCAAAAGTGGGGTTAGGTGGCAAAATAACGAAAAATGTCAAAAAGTAAAGCTATTCAGAATTTAGTTCTTGTTTAAATATCAAGATTTATAGGTATACAGGAACTTTCGACAAATATTAGTTTTATGATTATTTTTTGCAGAAAAAAATGTATGTTTTCTATAGAATGACATAAGAGAAAGCAATAATTATAATGAACATAATTTCTTTTTTTCCGTCCTACAGTATATTATAAAAAATAAATAAAAATATTTATGTTCAGACTACCATATGGGATATCTTTATTGCAATGAGAAATTCTGGGAAAGCCTTTTTTTTTAATAGTTCAATAATAAAAAAATCCATTGATTGTGAACTTTTTGACACATTTTGTAAATTGATGACAATTATTTTAATAAATGTGTAATGCTTTATTTTGAAGAATTTTCCAAAACTTATCCAGTGTCGTTAAATAATTAATTTATTTTCATTTCAAGACATGAGTTGATAAAGGTGTCATGTCGCATTTTTTTAAAAATCAGTTTTATTTAGTATTTCCACATCCCTTTTAATTCAACAGATCTATCCTCCAATAGACTCTAAATATTAAATATAAATACCATAAAGAATATCCTAGGCGATAAAGGTGTCATGTCACATACACCATCAGTAATTTTTAGACGTGTTTTGTCGATTAACTCGAAACTTTAAAAAAACGACATGACACCTTTATCCACTCATGTCTTCATATTTATTATTAGCTCCACCAGTAAAGTGGCTATGGGGAGTTAGGAGCACTGAAAGGGTGAATTTAAAAAACGGTTGTTTTGAAATTGCAGGCTTAAAAAAAGGAGATAAAATTTCGAAAAAAAATGCCCTGCCATAAATTTTGACCCTAAATTAAATGGTGATACTGAAAAATTATTTGGAAAAGCGGAAAGGGTAGTTTTTGCAAGGGTAGGGGGTTGTTTCGTGAATAACTTTTTTGAGGTTATTTTTTTTTTGCAACGTGGGTTCATTTTTTGAAAACTACATACTTTTTCCTACAAAAAAAGTACTCTTGTTGCACATCGCCCAGAGCGATGGTTTTCGAGAAAATTGCAGACAAAGAGTTTGCTCTGATGGGTTGCTAACTGGTTAATCAACATAAACTTATGAAAGTTATGGCGGTTCAAAAGTAACCAAGTAGTTATCAAATAATTAATTGAAAAATCAAAATTTCATGATTTTTAAACATCTTATTGCTTTAGAAAACGAAATAATCCACTAGATTTCTACTTCTGGGGCCACTTGAAAGGCTTGGTTTACTCAGTGCCGATTAATATTGAAGAGCAACTACCGCAACGCATTATTGACTGTTCCAATCAAATTTGGTCAACACCAAGGATATTCCACAAGGTACGCAGATCTTGGAGCAGATGTCTGCATTGAAATGAATGGTGGTCACTTTAAATATTTACTATGAATGAATTAAGGAAGGCATTATTTTAATAAGGAATTTTGGTAATTGGTTTATTTCGTTTTTAAAGCAATAAGATGTTTTAAAAATCATGAAATTTTGATTTTCCAATTAATTATTTAATAACTACTTGGTTACTTTTGAACCGCCATAACTTTCATAAGTTTATGTTGATTAACCAGTTAGCAACCCATCAGAGCAAACTCTGCCTTCAATTTTCTCGAAAACCATCGCTCTGGGCGATGTACAACAAGAGTACCTTTTTGTAGGAAAAAGTATGTAGTTTTCAAGAAATGAACCCACGTTGCAAAAAAAATAACCTCAAAAAAGTTATTCACGAAATAACCCCCTACCATTGCAAAAACTACCCTTTTCGCTTTTCCAAATAATTTTTCAGTATCACCATTTGATTTAGGGTCAAAATTTATGGCAGAGAATTTTTCTTCGAAATTTTATCTCGTTTTTTAAGCCTGCAATTTCAAAACAACCGTTTTTTAAATTCACCCTTTCAGTGCCCCTAACTCCCTTAATATGCATTTTCCGCCCTATACTTATAGGAACATTTTTTACCATTTTTAGGAGTACTATTATCCCCTGATTTTTTTACACCATTTCAATGACACCCTGTATATCAACGTTAGAATATAATTACCGGGCCCGTATTCTGTAACTTTGACATAAAAACGTTACGTTTTCAAAGCGGTGAGCGCAAGTATTCGATCAGCGCAACGCAAGGCAGTCGATTTTGGTATTCTCGTTGCCATGCGAAGCGTGGTCTGGATACGCGTTGAGCACATATTGGCAACATCACAATTTCTAATGTAGGTAATAGTCAAAAGTTGATAACTGATGGATGTAACAATAAAAAATGTCAATGTTACGTGAATTTCATAACCTATTGTTATGTCAAGCTATTTTTCTATGGATATGACATTATTCTTATTATACGAGGGAAGTGTTGAAGACGCTTCTCAGCATTTTCGATGTTTTGAACAATATTTATAGCTCCCAAGTCGTAAATTATCAATTACTTTTTGAGGAATTTATAGAAGTAGGAATTTTCACTAAAGAGCAAGATCACGCACAAAATCATAATTTTTGTCGATTTTTACTGACAGTTCGATAAGCAAAACGATCCTTTAAGGCAACCGTTTTCAAAGCGCTCAGCGCAATCAGTAAAGACGCTAAGCGCGTCAGACGAGAATACCGAAGTCGTTAATCAAGTGCGCGATCAGCGAAAATTAACGTCATATACGCTCAGCGTCTAAAAGCGCTTAGCGTTTTCAAAGTTACAGAATACGGGCCCCGAGATTACGCTCACGGATCAGTGGAATATTCAATCATAAGCAAGGGGCGGTCCCAGTGCACTCATGTCATTGATGCGTGGTATGCATCTTTAGATGTGGGAACTCAAGGTGATTGTGCCATAACCTCAATACCGACAGTAGTAAATAAAATATAAACTGCCTCTCTCTCTATGGATGTTGTTTCTGTTTTTAATATTTAAAGGTTTGCGAAAAGTAGACATATTTACAACCAATTGGTAAGTTCTGACAATAAAAAGACATGAAAAAGGGTTGTAAATATTTCTCCTGAGGATGATCATTTAAATAAAACGAATTTTTTGGTTTGTTTTATATTTATTTTGTAAACAGAGCAGAATAACTTACAAAAATAACCAAGATTGCATACTAAAATTAGATTTAAACATAATAAATTAATAAAAATAACTTTGGCTACAATTTAAAATTAACATTTATAGCTCGCTATGAGCCATAGGGAATATATTACTCTATCGATTGAATAATTATTTATTTTTCGCTTAATACTTACAAACTAAAAAAAGGCAAAACAAAAACAATATGATTAATAATAAACAATCTACCAATTACAGGATGTCCTTTACAGGGTGCCTGTTAAAACACAATATTTTTTTTCGGTTACAAGTTTATTAAATTGGTTAATATTTACTTTTAGTGTGTGTTTCAGTGAAGTTCGTTATCACTTTCACTGTTTTTTTTTTGTTAAAATATGCGGGCAGTAATACTTGTCATTTTATCCATATATTAATAAATATATACAGGATGATTTAAGTATACTTTTGAGATTGTTTTGTGATTTTTCAATTTCCAGAGAGCTTTTAAATCACTGTAGAACATTCAATATAAAATTGTCATATTTTAAAAACCACTCATAGATTATGTTGTCCCGCATATTTTGTAACAACATTGAAGTAAAAATCAAACTCGACCAACTATTTTATACTTCAGTTTTTTCGAAAAATTGACATTATTTTCCTATTTAATAGACACCCTGTAAAACATAAGTTGTGACCAATGAATCGATAATTTTGATTTTAGGATATACTTTCTTGTTAAATGCACCTTCAAAATAATGCTTCTTGGTAAAATTTACGTAGCAAAATACTTACAAAAAAATACTATATTTGACACAAAATATTTGTTTTTTAAATTTTAACTAATAAATCATAACACTACTTTGAAATTGTTACTTGTGTAATGTCAGTAGGGCGCTGGATTTTTTAATGTGATCTTTAATTTTATCGCTGGTCCAAATTTAAAAATATATCTAATAAAGTAAAATAAATAGGGTCTTAAAATTTCGATACATAACTATAATAACATATACACTCTCAAAATTCAAATGAATTATTTTTTTATGTGATGATAAAATTTTCTATTCAAAATCCAGTAAAAGTTTTATCTTGAATTGTTCACCCTGTATATTATTGTGATTTTAAAAATTGGTCTAAGAACACTCGTTTTGTACATAAAAATAAACTATAAAATGTCGACTAGAAGACTCAAATAACAAAAATTGTATATTGTGTATAAACAGTTAAAAAATGTTTTAAAAATCAAAAATACTATAGTCAGAGAATAAGTTATTCTGTGCTATAGTTGTGCAAAAAATATAGTTAAAAACAATTCTAACAAACAAATTCATAGCAAAGACACAAACATTACAAACATATAAACTTTAGGGAGGTATATACAGGATGTGCCAAAAAGTTTCCAACAAATGGGAAAGTAGTAAACGATTTATTTACTAAAAGTTTATGTGGAATTACTTCAACATAAAAAAGTAATTTTTAATATATGTCATGTGACAACTGTCACGGGGGTAAAGATCATCTTTAATGTTGCAAGAAGTGGGGTTAGGTTTTCAAACAACTTATCTTAAGGGATATAAGGGGAGGATATTTCGACCCTAGGAACACGTCTATGGTTTTTTCCCCAAAAAAAACAAAGATGTTGAAAATCGTAGTTTCTTATAAATTTTCGTGTATATTTTAGAAAACTTTTTAGAGCTATCACGTTACGTTTTTACTCTATGGTATTACAACACTAAAAGGCATGCAAATACAGAAGACGGTGGCTCTCAATTTTTTTTTAAATATATCAACTTGAATAACTCTGTTATTTTGGACTTATTTGAAAAACGATGAAGAGAAAATATGTTTCTTTCATAGAGATTTACCAGTCCACTTATTTAAGACTGACCCTGTATAGTCAAATAAAGGAATAATAAAACTTTTTCTCATTTGTTCAGATCTTTTTGGCACCATACAACAAACCAATTTTAAATCCTTTTAATATACAAGGTGATTAATTTATTTTTACTCAATGCCCTCTCCTGGACATAAAAATTGTGCAATATTTCCACTAATACTGATTCACCAATTAGTTTTATCTTTTTTTTTTCCTTATTTTTGATTAGTCATTGTGTATAAAAGTTTATTTAAATGCCGCTTAAATGATATATCTGCCGCCAAATTGACTCTATTATTATATCGTAATAAGTTATTTATTAAAAAGTTTTTTATTTTATTTAAGATGACACTTACGGAGAACACGACTACAACTCTAAAAGCACACACCATTTATACCAGCATCTAACCGCTATTATAAATATACTTTTTTGTTTTTAAATATTTAAATATATAATCAACTCTAATATTTCTATACATATGTTAAATATATCTTCTATACAAATTGTAAGGTCCCTATTTTTCTGCTTCTTTTTAATCTTAAATCTTGTTAAGTATGAAAAAGTCTATTGCTTGATGAGTTATTTCGGATTGAGTCTGGGAGAGAAAAAAAACAGGGTTCTATAAAAGCGAACAAGCCACGTCGATAGGTGGCGTTGATGAGATTAAAATAATGCAACAAGTTGTGTAAAAAGTAGGATGTATAAATGTAAAAAATAACGAGTCCTATGCATAAGTTGTTACAAAGTTTATGCAGGGTTTTTCATGATCCGCTTTTGTCGGAAGTCATAGACCTTGCGACAGAAAAACACCATTTCGGGGGAAATGTTGCTACTGGGGGGTTGTTTGTTGATCCTAGGATAAGCTTCGGGGAGGGGGATGCATCGAGATTCATCTTCCAACCCTTCTTCTAACCTCTTAAAGTGTTTCTTGTACCTAGGAGAGAATAAGAAATTAGATAATATTAACATATAGCTTTATATAACTAGAAAAAAAATGTTTCTGGTTAAAGATTTTCATTCCAATTTTTTGAAGTAAAACTTCTTTACGCGCGCTCGGACAGTCAAAACTTAGAAAAAATGGTCTGATCTAAATGAAATTTAGTATGTCGATAGATTTGGCCAACGCCAACTTGACCGTGTAGGACACGTGTTACTGTGACAGTTAGTTTTGACGTAAGAAACGTCAAAAATTGATGTCCGATCCCGACCAAATTTGGTGGGTTTACATCTTCATCAGGGTGGGACTAAGGATTTGATATTGAAGAAAAATGTGGGTCGATTTCGCCATAATTGGGGGGAGTCACAGGATGACCTCGATGTTTCGAACCGATGCCTCTAAATGGACTAAATCATCAGGATTTTTCTCAATTATGGGTCGATTGGAACCAAACTCGGCACGTGGATAGAGGTACCCGAATGGAGTCCTCAGACGGTCATTTTAATACAAATTTTGTGAAAGTGAATCAAATTATTTAGTAATTTTTAATTTATTACTTTTTTAACATTTCAAACATGTCCGTCAAATCCTTCAATTTAATAGCTGTTAGTAAGAACTTTCACTTCAAATACATTATCCATCATCCGCCATTACTCGCTGACGAGTATTTGACACGCATCAGAAGATGGTCACGCAAGGCGTTTTCTTTCATGAGCTTTTCTGTGACTGAAAAGCCAGATACGTGATGCTATCTGTCTACCGCACTCCGGACATTCAAAAATCTCATTTTTGTTGCCTCTTTACTTTTTGGTTGTTGCTGTTAACTGAGTACAATTCTTCTCCGTTCCGTTCTATTATGAGCTGTTTCTTCCCACTCATTCTGCCGGTTAATCCCCTTTAAGTTTCCGTGGAAAATATCTTTGTACCTTTTGAGTTGTCCACCCGGCCTCCTCTTACCGTCTACAAGCTCACCGTAAAGCAGAGATTTTGGTATGCGATTTTCTTGCATTCTGCATACGTGACCAGCCCATAGAGTATTGAAGTCATGATTACAAAGTCCTGCTTAAGATTAAGCAGGACTTTGTAATCATGACTTCAATACTCTAGCAGTTAGCTTTTTCAAGGACCGATATGTTTGAGACACGATGGAACCATTTCATTCTTAAGAGTTCACTTCAAATATGCGCACACAGTTTTTTTACACATAATTTTTTTTAATGTCATAGTTCATATTTCTTAGATTAGTCCATTTACTATTAAATAATGTAAAATACTATAATTATAAACGGAATTAACCATTTTAGAACAAGCAAAAATTTTTAAGTGCTATTTTTTTAACCATGCATATAGTTTACAAAATAAATTGGAGGGAAAATTTGAAACCAGAAACCTATAGTGCTATTTCGGAATGCTAGACCACCTTGAATAAAATTATACAAAAACACAGTATAATAAACTTTTAGTAAATGCACAATAATATTATGAAGTGAATACGAATATAAATAGTAAAAATCGTATTATGAAAGATTTAACAATTTTGAAGCAACACAATGAGGAGAGAGAACTTACCTTAAAAAAATAAATTAAGTTTTCTTTAAACAAAATACAAGAAGCAAAACTTTTTTTTTGATTTTTTTCTCGTATTTTGTTTATTTATATGAACCTTTGAATAAGAAGACTAAGGATGGAGCATAATGCTATCCATGTATTCATGCATGGTGGGCGGAAAAAGGACTCTAGGGTGGGGATCCTTGACAGTTCTGTTTAACGATTCATTTGACACATTTGAATTTGATTTGAAATTTTGTGGATTTGTCAGTCTTTACAGAGCTTATTTTATGTTATTTATTATTTATTCTACTACTGATAGTTGTATAAAGGTAGTAAATCTAGATGGAAATTGTGGCAGAACTTAAATTAACAGTGACACTATCGCGATTTATCGAAAAATACTCTACAATAGTTGGTTGTGTAGCGTGCGGTAGATCTCGGCAAAAATCGAGTAAAATAATGGAACAACTTTTCGCTAGTAAGTGACTATATAATATACATACGTGTAGTAAACCGATCATTTATGAAATTCATTTAAATTAACTAATTATATATTTTTTCTTGCATTTTTGCTTTTATTTACTACTTGTCAAAGAATTTAGATACGTCAATTTGACTTACCTGCTTCAGTAGCGTATCGGATGTTTATGGTTATAAATAATTATTATAACTATTAATATAGATTAGATATTATAATCTATTTTTATTAGAATTTTATATTTTTATAACAATTTTAATAACTACCAACATTTACTCACAACGTAAAATAATAAAAAAATTGTTGAGTCTACCCCACATCATAGTTTTACATTTTTTAAATAAAATTAGAACTGCACTGATAAACCGGAATTTAAGTCGGCCATATTTGAGGCCTATCGGGGTGGACCTAATATTTTTGATATGCTCCTTCCTTAGTCTTCTTATTCAAAGATATAAACCCTACCAAGCCTTCAGCTCCATCTATGGTAACGTAGATGAAGCAAGCATATAAGTTTTCTTTATTAGAAATTGTGGTGAAGTGAAAAAATGGACGCGTGTTTTTTAATTTTTTCCTAGTTCAATTATTTCGAAAGTTACAAGAGTTTTTGTTTTTTATATTTAGATATACTGAGCGTGGCGTGACGCCATACACCACGGTTGAGCATTTTTTTCGAAACTATCAAAATATTCAAAGTATGAAAATTTTCCATTGTCTATGAAAATTAATAATTTTTTTTAGGTAAGTTCCCCGTTGAGAAAAAAACTATACACAGATTGTCCTTAAGGATAACCACCCACCTGCAATACTCATTAAATGTCAAAACGTAGCATTTGTCATCAATACACGCCACAGAATTTGAATCTTTATGCCTAGATGCGAACACTTCGTCAGGTTGATCCACTGGCAATCTTCCCTGTTCAGTGTGTTCGGGCCTATAGTACCAGAGTAACGACATCATCATTTCGCCTGTAACATGAAATAAGTTGCTTTCTTTTGATTCTTAAAGTAATTATGTATATGATATTTTGTTATTGAATCAACTTACCATCATCCGGATTCTCCCACAGCGCTGCGATTTTGGCAACATAAGGAAGATCGTTTTTTCTTGGTCCGGCTTTTAACAAAACGCAGTCTCCAGGCATAATGAGGTCACCTTCATCCTCATGTTTCATTGCGGGGTAACATTTCCTAACAACGGTAGTTTCGTCGCTCTGTAATATAAAGAGAACAAATAAATTTTCGGAATATATTTTCGAAATTTTGTTGCTTACATTAGTGAACACTCTGCCGTCGTATGGTTTTCCCTCCCAAGTCCACCCGTTCGACCATTTTGGCAAATTCAAGGACTTTCTACCCCTTACTGTTTCTGGTACATCATCTTTACCCTTTGTCGCCGTTTTTCGTCTTATCGTCCCAATTTTCTTACATTCCGATTTGGCTTGCTTTATTTTGCTAACAGCCTTTTTAACATCTTTCTCCTTTACTTCCACCTCCGCCTTGCTGTATTCACTGACCACTTCTTCTATGGTTTTGTCGATATTATTCTTCGCTATGAGATTATCCAAAACTTTAACGGCTGTTTTGATAATCGGTATGTTCTTCAAACCCTTCTTTTTACTACTCTCCTTTTTGTTAGTTTTTTGAGTTAACCCGTTGTTTTCTGTTAAAGGCATTTTGCTGTTCACTTTTATCCTCCGGTTATTAGTTTGTTCTTTGGAGGCATTCAGTTTTTTCTTCATCGACGTTTTTTGTTTAGTTTTCGGAATTCTAACTTTGTTGGCTTCCTTGCTGACTAGCTTTCTCTTGCCGTTACTGATTTTAAAGCAGTTGGTGTGTTTCTTAATGTAGTCCTTGTACGAACTCATCTTTTTCTTCTTTTCTAGAATCACTTCAGGTACTTGATCCTTTGTCATGGATTGCTTTCGCTTCATGTTTTTCACTTTTACGTTTTCGGCAACTGTGGCTATACATGGAGGTAGAGGTTCTTCAAGTGTTGGAGTTTCAGTTAAAGGAGTTACTGTAGGTGATTCTTCTATAAAATCCGATTTCGCAGAGGGAATTTCTGTAGGTCCGATAACTGTTTCCGTCACTTCAGGAGTTTGACTCAACTTAACTTCCTGCACCAAGTCCTGACATTCCTCGTTGGTACACGTTGTGGTCTGACAAGCTTCTGGTATTTGTGCAACTCCTTTATCGTTTTCCTTTACATTCTCCTCCTCTTTCTTATGCAGTTCTTCTTTGTCTTTCGGGCTTTCTATTTCCCTCTTTACGTAGTCCTGTTTCGGGTTGCACATCAGCAGCATGGTACTCTGCATGTTGCTTCGTACCATCGCTTTTCCCACCCGAGCCTTTCGCTTCTGTTCCACCTTGCACTCTGTCGCTTCAGGCGACTGGGACTCTTGTTTCGGAGCGGCAACGGGTGGCGGGTGGTAACTGGCCCCAGCGGGCGACGGCGGTGGAGGCATGCCGCCGGGAGGCATCCCCGCCGACCCTCGGGCCGGGCTGGGCGGTCCAGTGGCGCTGGCTGGTTCCAATGGTAGAGCTAAGGCAACTGGAGGTAAAGGCATCGCGTCTTTGGAGATGTTAGACCTCTTACTCTCACCAGTAAGAGGCCCAGTATGTCCGTTTTTTGGACAGGTATTCAGTGGACAGGGGCAAGGTTGATATGTAGCGTCTACAAATAGAAACATCAAAATTTAGTTGATACTAAAAGAATGAAAATAAATGAAAATCTTACTTATGTAGGAGATGGGTCGTGTTGGTGAATGCGAATAGCACGTTGGAAGCCCGTAGGTGGGAGGGTAGTAGTGAGGGGGAGGTGGTTGATACGTTTCCACGAGGGTAGGTGGCGCTGGGGGCGGCGGGTACGTGTCCATTCTCGTGGGTGGTGGAGGGGGACCGGCTGACGGCGCCGAGGTATAAGATCCATTGGAGGAGACCGGTGATGCTGTTACTACCTGCGGAATTAAAGCGACACCATTTTTTACAAGGGTTAATAATGCTACTACTTTACAAATGGAAATGGAAATATGACAAAGTCCCTAAATATACTAACTAATAATAATACGTTATGAATACATTTAGGAACATCAATTAAGCTGAGAGCCTATAACTTTTACAATTGTTTTTTGATTTTGGTGAAAATTCTGTTTTTTCTTAAAATAAACTGCTTGCTTGATCATGAGTATACAGGAAAAAATAAATATACTTTTTTATTTTTAAAATATTAAAACACTGTAGAAGAATTGAGCGATAATTGGCATTGTCTGCGTTTTGCGAGAAGATTTTTAAAGAATGTGTTTCAAAATCAATATATTTTTTATAATATAAGAAGTTATAGGGCTGTCTATCCAACTAAAATTATCTCTGTACGGAATTTATTGTCGGATATCTATTAATGATATTAATATAAACATTTATCTGGAACAGTAATAGTAAATGGAGAACGGTAATAGTAATAATATAATATCGCAAAGGAAGAATCCATTGAAAACGAAGCTAGTTTTTGACGTTTATTTATACCTTTGTATATAAAAATTTTTGCTTTGTACCTATACAGTATGTTCCCGGATTACTGTAGCTACAAGAGGAAAAACTTCTTTATTGACATTTTGAGAAAAATGTATTCTTCATAAAAATTTTTGCTTTTTTGCCAACTAAAATCCTCTTTATACTTTTCGAAATTTCCATACCGTTTGAGAGAAAAGTAAGAAAAACATGAAAATAGTATTGAATTTTTCAAGTCCTAAAAATCAAAAGACACATTTTTATGGTAATATCAATTCAATTTAATTCTTTGATAGATAGTTATTATTAACAGTTATTAATTTTGATTAATGTCATATTCTTTGCTGTTGTTAAAGTATCACATTTTCCGATAACTCATCACCCTTTCCGTAGCATTAAACTAAATAAATTTTGTGCTTCTTTATCATTCTAAAATAAAAAATATTACGTTACTTAAAATGCTATGAATAAGAATCTATCAAAGAATGAAAACGAAGTTATATTACCATACAAAAGCGTTTTATTTTTGGGACTTTCAACCACATTTTCATGTTTTTCTTATTTTTCTTTGAAACGGTATGAAAATTTGGAAAATTATAACCGGGATAAACATTTTGCTAGAAAAATGCATTTTTCTCAAAATGTCAATAATAAAAAAAGTTTTTCCTCTTGAAAAGACAATCCGTGGACATACTGTAGATCATACCAAATAAACTTTTAGTCACGTGATTAAGCTTGACGGGAACAGCGTTGTCCACTTTTACATAATATTTTCTTTTAATCAAAATATTTTAAGAAATAAAAATAAATTAATTATACATAAATATAAAAACAATTATTATTTACATCAACAAAACTCACCTCCTTAACAACACTTAAGGGACATAAAAGGCCATTACTACCACCGCTTTCCCGTTCAAAATATTCTAATAAAGATTCCGATGAGTTTTTTACAACGGCTATTAAGCTTCTATCTTGTACACTTCGCACTAAAAGAGGTTCTAAAAAGAACAATGTTCAATTGCAAGGTCTGGTAGTAAAAATGTTTAAGCTTAAAGTATCACAAGGTGATTCATTTAAACCAATAACTCATAATACAAAACTAAAGTGTCAGAACGAATGACAATGTCGGGAAACAAATAAATAAATGTGGCAACTTGACATTTTTTACAGCAGAGTTACCACCCAATCACCAGCTGGAAATTTAAATTACAGTTAGTCAGCCTAGAGCCGAATATGTTCATGGTTGGCGACAATGAATTTAAAAATCTCGCACTCGATTACGTAACTAAAAGTTTAATTGGTATCGCTTATAGCTACAGTTTTATTCCTAGCTACAGTCTTTCTAGAGAAATATAGAAATATTTCGACAGAAGACATTACGTATTTTTTTCGTTGGATAGACCTATTTACTTAAATATATGATGATATTGATAAAAAGCAAAGCATCGGGGATTTACCTGTTGACTAGGTTGTGCTGACGGGCCGCCAGGTGGAGAATAGATGTCTCCCCCGTGCGGAGGGTAGTACGAGTACCTGTGGTAGGCTGTGCTAGGTGGTGGAGGGGGGTACTTCGGATGACGCACGTAGGATCCGGCAGGTGGAGCTGCCGAATAACACATCTCATGGTGGCCGTACGGCGGAGTGGGAGGTGGAGGTGTTGGGTAGTGGTACTGCGAAGGATAGGGATAAGGAGAGTACTGCGAGTACTGGTGGTATCGGTAGGGCGCCGGCGCTGGCGGCTGGTGGCTCGCTGAAGGCGGCGGCTCCTTGGTGCCGGCGGTAACAGAAGTTATTATCACCTAGAAAAAAAGAGACGTCTTAAATGGGTATTTATATCCATAGGCAATATAATGCCTAGAGTCGGTACTGTCGGAAAGAGAAAAAAAGTATTTATAAAAGTGAACACTGGTTATGTGGTTATAAGGGCCTTAATAAACTTTTTTGTTGGTCTTGTCTACTAATTTATCTAACAGATACGTTCGGATAACAGCCTTGTTTTTCACCTAAATTTAGTTCTTTTTTAAATTGTTTTGATTATTTTTTTAATCTGTTACATTTTTTGTTTATTTTATTTTTGTAACTTCGAAATTAAAGACTTTATTAAAAAACAATGTGTGCACGACATGCGCATATTTGAAGTGAAACTTCTTACTATCAACACTAACAGCTATTAAATTGAAGGATATATATTTTTAACATAATAAAACCGTATACTATTCTAGCTTTATAATTTTATGTTTTTTTAATTTTTATTAAAAAAAGATAATTCTATCACTCGGCCGGATAGCCTTGGCAGCTGTGGCCATTAAACCAAAATATTACTACCATCTATATCTCTGACTACTATTAACCAACAATTTGTTCTGTGTGATCTGTGGTCTATTTTTGTTTATTGTTCATTATTTATAGTAATTTACAGTAATTTTATTAACTGACTCTAAATTTTAATTCTGAGCTGGCAAATGAGCTAGATGCTGAACCTAGACCGTTATTCAGAAGCTACAAACCTGTCAATAAAAATATGAATGGAAATTTACTTCCTAGCACACAACCAGTGGATATGGATATACATCAAGGTTGATACAGTATCAAGTTTGATATAGTGATTTTCTTAGCCGCGTATGGCACATATCGTTACCCTGTGTCGCCACAAACTTATTTTTCATCGGGGTAGATTATCACAAGGTAGCCGAGTTAAATTGTTTTATAAAAGGTAGATCTATCCCGAATGGGGTGGTTGTGGCAACACTGCTGTAACTACTTTTCCTCTCGCTAGCTCGTGCGTCACGACCGTCATTCAAGGCCGTGACATTATGTCAACCAATATACAAAATTATGTAGTTTTAATAATGCGTCAAAATTAGGTTTATATCTAAATTGTTTTCCAAAGTCATGAAATAAACTGAATCACGGCCTTGAATTTTTACTGGCGTAAAGAAGTTTCACTTCAAAAAGAAAAATATGTTAGTAAATGTTAATTGCAGTTACTTATTACATTCCCTTGTATTGACGCCACGCTACGCCTCTGCTACGTATATTTGCTTTTTAATAAATGTTTAATAACCGTCGAGAAGCCTAATAACCATAGCTAATAATATATTAAGACTTACTCTGGCTCGCACCATCTTCGATAATACCTAATAACTTTTATAGTCCCTTTTCACCTTAATGAAATGAAAAACATTTCAGAGAACCAACCCACAATAATTGAAATTTGTTCATAGAATCGCATAAAATTTAACAGTAACAATCAGTCTAAGTACACTTTGAGAGCATCGAATACATCAACACAACAAACGACCGCTGAGAAAAAAGCACGTTTAACTGACGTAGTTTTACCGACAATAATAAAAACCTTTTTTCGATTTCTATCGTCTCTACGTTCCGCTCTCGACGGTACCGGCTCGAAAACTGACGTAAATACGACAGCTATGCAGTAGAAATGCCTTTTTAAACGTTTGGAACCGTTTTGGATTGTTCGAGGACGTCGGGCAGACGCGCCGGCTCCGCGGCTCGAAGGACCAACAGCTGATTCTTTGAAAAGAAGGCCCCGGACGACCCTTTTTCTCTTTAATTTTATTGTCTCGGGTGGTATTTACTCGATTCGGAGACGGAACCGGATGATTTAGGACGATAACTTGTTGGGACAAGCTTTAAAATTCGCCTTTTTCGAAGTCTTACCACCGTACATAAAACTTAACATACGTACTTAACTTTTATGTACGGTGGTCTTACGTTATTCGTTTAAAATGAAAATCGGCCAGCTCTTAGTTATTCCGTCACGTCGCCCTCAACTCGATAGTTCAACTTTTATGGATCCATGCTGGACACGATTCAATTGAACAAACGGTATTGTAAGCAATGAATCAATTCTCACAACTCTTTTAATGAACGAGCAACGAGTTGTAGAAACGAACGAGTCGCATTGTGATCCGATGCAATACTTACGACTCGTTCGTTCAAATTTTATGGATCCATGCTGGCCACGATTCACTTGAACGAATCGTATTGTAAACAATTAATCAATTCTCACGACTCTTTGAATTCTCACGAAGCTTTTTTACGACTCGTTTGTTATTTTATGGATCCATGCGGTCCACGATTTAAATGAACGAACCATATTGTAAGCAATGAATCAATTCCCACGACTCTTTGAACAAACGAACCGTAGAAACGAACGAGTCGCATTGTGATCCGATTTAATTCTCACGCCTCATTCGTTCAAATTTTATGGATCCATGCTGGCCAAGATTCAATTGAACGAACCGTATTGTAAGCAATGAATCAATTCTCACAACTCTTTGAACGAACGAACCGTAGAAACGAACGAGTCGCATTGCGATCCGATTCAATTCTCACGACTCTCTCTCGTACGATTCGTTCAAATTTTATGAATACGTGCTGGCTACGATTCAATTGAACGAACATTAAGCAAGAAATTGAACGTATTGTAAGCAGTGAATCAATTCTTATATACGAGTCTTTCAACGAACGAGTCGTGGAAACGAAGGAGTTGTAGAAACGAACGAGTCGCATTATGATCCAATTCAATTCTTACGACCTTTTTTACGATTCGTTCGTTCATATTTTATGGATCCATGCTGGCCACGATTCAACTGAACGAACCCTATTCTAAGCGGTGAATCGAATCTCAAGATTCATTTTTAATACTAGTTCATATGAACGAATCGTTCAATCTTTAGACACCTTTACGGCTGAGTGTTTAGGAGAATAAAAAGTGTGTTTAGGAGAATAAAAATAGTAGGTACCTCATTATCGGATGAATCGCCGTTGTTTGAACTGGGAGCAGGTGGTGGTGGGGCCTGGTGCACCGATGACGTCACCGAGGAAGGTGATGTGTCAGACAGGGGCACACTCTTGGTCAGGGGCGGAGGTTGTGGGCCTGGAGGCTGGGCGTGCCCGTGGGGCACCGTAATCAACGGTCCGGCAGGCTGATAGTATCCTGAAACCATCAAAAGAAGAAAATTATTATATGATCCTGGATACCCTATCTTCCTGGCCCGTATTTTAGCATGCGACAGAGATAAATATAAATGACCGGTTGACAGAGACAAAATAAAAAGCGGCATACCAAATCTGTATACAGTGTCGTGTTACCACCTTTTTGTGTTTAAAGTGTTCCTAAATACTGTACTGCATATTGTTCTATTTATATATTATATGATATTATGTCATTCAACTTCTGTTTAAATGAACAGAAACACATGAAAGTATTTAGGAATTAGGTACATAAAGGGAAATTAAAACAAACAAAACAAATTTTGGTTGCACGTCATCAATGACACCATGCGTCGCCTTATGGAGTTTGCTGGTGGTCGTATTATGATGTGCAACCAAAGTTATTTTAATTTCCCCATAGGTACCTAATTCCTAAATACTTCCGTGTGTAATATTTTCGTGCATAACTGTCAATAAACAAAGAGTTTGTTTATATTGTTGTATATGTTGGGTCGAAACAAATCAATGTAAAAGCGAAATCAACTGGAATTTAAGGTGGTAGCGTAGCTGTAAAAAATGTCAAGTTGCCATAATATTTATTTCCTGACATTGTCATTCGTTTTGACACTTTAGTTTTGTATTACGAGTTTTTGGTTTAAATGAATTGTGTTGCGATACTTTAAGCTTAAAATTTTTTACTCTCGGACCCTGCAGTCGAACATTGTCCTTTTTAGAATCTGGCTTAATAGCCGTTGCAAAATATTCATCACAACCTCATGCCCCGTAAGTGCTGTTACGAAGGTGAGTTTTGTTGATGTATATAATAACTGTTTATATATTTATAATTATTTTATTTTTGTTTTCTAACATATTTTGATTAAAAGAAAATATGTAAAAGTGGGCAACGCTGTGCCGGTCAAGCTTAATCACGTAACTAAAATTTTATTCGGTATAACCATATGGTTAGTTTGTCTTTTATAATACATGTCTTTATTGTCTACGAGAAAAATATTTAAAACAGAACAACAAAACACTGTATCACTAATAAAAAATAGTCCATGTTAAAAATTTCTATTCAGTGAACTTACGTAAAATGATATTCTTAACACTTACAAAAGCACAATGAAGCTTAAAGCTGTTTACGTGGAAACTTCATGGTATTTAAAGTCTAGCTTGCTCTATCGCACGTATTTACTTACGTATGCATAACAAACAGTTTGTAGTTAATATGTAGAGCGAAATTTTCCTTCTAGCGGATGCACGTTTCCATTAAGCGACCTAAGAAGATATTTTAATAAGCGTAAAGAGCCAAGTCAGAAATTAAGTTAAATTAACTCAGTTCATAAGGAAAAGTTCTGCAATAATTAGACTAGGCATACTAGAGTCTAATTTTTCTCTTCTATTCTAATTATAGTATGGACCAAAATTCAATTTAACAATGCCATTTGTCTAGTCTTTGCTTTGATTACATTTTTAAGTTTCATCTTGTTTTTTTTTGTATAAAATCTGCGCTTGGACGTTGTGAGACTATATATTTTTGTTCTATATACCTACGTATCTACACTCAGATACAAAAAAAAACGCAACGGATTTTTTTTTAAATGTTATATATTTTTTATTTTTAGTCCCATTTCCTTAATTTTTTTTAGCAAGCTGTATAGAATTTTAGAATTTAGAATGAGTGGGAGGGGGGTTAATCACTTCGACCTTACAGATCCATTGTGTCCCCCTTTCTTGAATCATAACTCATCATACAGTCCCAGGGCTTTGACAAAAGCCAGTATCTGGGACGGTTTTATAGAGGGTAGTTCTCCAATATCAGTCGTACCAAAATTCATGGCACGAATGGTTGTCGTCTCGGCGCACTCAGTGATGAGGTGTACTGGTGTTTCCCCATCTTCTCCACAGAATCTGCATTCGCCGTTTCTTCTTAGTTTCAATCTACTGAGGTGTTCATTGAGGAGACAGTGTCCTGTTAAAAACCCCGTGACAATCCGAAGATTGTTCTTACTCAGACCCAGGAAGATCTGTGATTTTCTTGATCATAAGCCCTCAGAAACTTCTTCGAGTGTCTTAGACCGTTGCAAGATTTCCATTCCAGGTTGCGGATGGAATCTTCCAAGTTCTTGAGTTCCGCCTTGAGTTGGTTACCACTTGGAAAGCAGAACGGTTCTGGTCCAGTTAGTGGAGTGTTCGCTCCTTTCCTAGCTAGATTATTTGCTTTTTCATTGCCTTCTATCCCTTGGTGAGCAGGCACCCAGAATAGGAGGACTTTGTTTTCTTTGCCTAATTTATTCAGCTTCTCTATGCATTCTTTGACCAATTTCGAATTGATTGATACTGAGTTGATCGCCTTTAACGCTGCTTGACTATCAGATAAGATGGCTATTACTTGTTTCCGATAGTTCCTATCTAAGATAAGTTGTACGCATCTCTCGATAGCGTAGATTTCTACCTGTAGGATACTAGGGTAAGTGCCCATTGGTTCGGAGTAATTAGCTCTCGGCCCAAACACTCCGATCCCTGTTCCCGTATTGGTTTTGGAAGCATCAGTATACCAAGTTATGGTATGGTCTTTTAACTGCTGGGCAAGCGTTTCGCTCTTCCAATCCTTCTTATTGCTCAATACTACATTGACATGTTTGTCAAAGTAGACTTATTATACAGGGTAAATCGAAGAGTTTGTTTTTTACCCTATCACACCCTGTGCAATAATTTCAAAACGTTATTTTCGGTCAGAGCCATGTCTCCTGAAGATTTTTTTTTAAAAATTAAAACACGGAGTGTTTTAGAGTTATAATCAAAGTTAGTTTAAAAAATTGTTGCACAGGGTGTTTTAAAGTTAGGGTAAAAAACAACCCTTCCATTAATCCAGTATTATTATACTGGATTAATTGAAGGGTTGTTTTGCTTATTAGCCAAATACTAAAGTTTATAAAAACTTAGTTTATGCATTAAAGTTGATATATTTATATACAGTTTTTTAAAAAATCATGAAAATACGACTAAAAGTAAAAAATATAATACTTTAAACTTGACAAAAAAAATTATCCGTTGCGTTTTTTGCATCTTAGTGTATATTCAGTAGGTTCAATAATGTTCAACCCCGTGAATAAAAATGTCTGTTGTCCTATAAAAAATATTTATACGGCAAAACAACCGTTTACATATTTTATATTCACGTTTTAAGTCATCGAAATGAAAAAAGGAAAAATTAAAATAGAAAAATCAAAACAGTCATGCGAGAATTTACTTAAACTAAGCAAATTTGTGATCATGCAAATAATTTTTAATAACGTAATCCATATTTTACTCGCTATATGCTTTGAAGATTTTTTTTGTAATTATATTGTTATATAGGTATAAAATAACGACAACCAAAGATTATACCAAACGACAACTTAAACATAATGACACGAATAAATTTTTTGCTGCTCCTTAATTTTCTTTGAGCGCCAATCTGACGATCTGCCCATCGAGATAAGAGGAATTTTCTCGACGTTATCAAGACAGGACAAGTTCTTTTTCTACAGACGTATAAAAAATGCGAACGTGATTGTCATAATGAAATGACAGACACCGTAAATGACATTGTAAATGAGGTTTCGATCGCTATCTAAGACCTTACCCTGACTTTATTTCTAGAGTCTGCATCAGGTGGCCTTAGATTTATATTTAGCTTTTTAATAATAAAGTATCGAAGAATATACTTACAGTGAAAAAGGATCATAAAGTTCTTCAATATACAGGGTGTCAAAATACAGTATATCTAACTTCGGTGGGTGATTTTATAGATAAAAATAAAACAAAAAGTTCCTATATGAACATAATATTACGCCCTAAAATGCGTCGCGAAGACTTTTTTTTATATCCAAAAAATATCTTGATATAGCAAGATATTTTTCGATTTATTTCAATAATCCTCATTTTTTAACGAGACGTAAATTGCCTGGTACAAAAAAATGCCCGGTTCATTTCTAGCAATAAAAAAAATAAGTTAAATCCCACTTGGTGCGTAACGTTGAGTAATTTTACCGGAAAACAGTCGCTGTTTTTGTTTCCGTATCTAAAAAATTGATATATGACGAAGGTAGGCACGAACTAGTAGCCGCTAAACAGGTAGCCTAGGACCAATACCTCTTGGAGATTAAAACCACAGAAAATATTACAATTAAAACAGAAACTATATCAACGATGACAACATTCTTAACCGAATAATAAAGAACGTCAACGGTTTAAATTAATTATTATTGATTTAAACCGTTGACGTTCTGTTAAAATGGCGTTATATCAAGTTAAACTTCAAAATTAACAATTACCTACTACCTGATAACAATTTAAGCTTGATTTTCATGCCTCCGTTAAGCCGGAGTCTCGTGCATCAGAAATCCGATGACACGACGATCCGTCGGTGGTTGAAATATTTTGACAAACCAATTTTTATCCGATATTTTTAACTAATCGTCCGACGTCGTATAAAGTTAAATTTTGTTTAACTTTTGTACGATATCGTGTGTTTTTTAACGTCACTTTTTTTGAAAACATTCTTTGATACGATGGTCCGACGATGCTCTAATTGGTCAGAGCGTTGTCGCGCCACTTTTCATCCGTAAATATTTTACTTCAGCCCGTCAACGGACCCGTTCATACGATAACGGACGTCTTGACACTTTTTTTGACAAATTTAATCTAACCCATAGACTAATGTCAAGTACTAGAGATAGATTGGACACTGATATAAAACAAATAAGCCCGTCATTTAGAGCCACCTGGTGATCTGGAAGAAACTAATGGAGAGTTTTGGCATAACATAATTTTAGCGTTCCGTTATTTATTAACGCTAACTAAAACGGTAACGTTATTCAAGTGCAAAATTATTCTTTATAAAATATAAAATAATAAATATATAGACTTGTTTACTATATTTTATGTTTTATTAGATCATTAGAAGTGTAACATATTCAAAACTAAAAATAAAATTATTATGAATACATTTTAAACACC